GCAGCTCCGGATGTCCTCGTCGAGGCAGGCGAAGAGCGCACAGATGGCCTGCTCGCTGCGATCCACACGGATCAGCGTCGTCTCGTTGCCCCAGTAGACGCCGAGGCGATAGCGGTAGGCCTGCAGCTCAGAAGCATCGCCCGCAAATGCCTGCCGCTGCACCTGGAAGTCGCAGCAGAAGGTGGAGCCGTGGCAGATGCGCTGCGAAATGTCCACAAAGTCCGCCTCAAGCAGAGTGCTGTTGAAGATGTCGACGTTGTAGTCGCGGTAGGTGGCCACCTTGGTGTAGCGCGGCGTCTCCAGCAGCGGCTGGAAGATGGGATCCACCTGCGCGGGCAGCTGGTAGGCTGGCAGGCCCGGCCGCCGCTTCGGCACCTGGGCCTTGAGCAGCAGCCGCACGGGCATCTCGTTGATGGTGGCGGTGAGGCGTCCGGCACGGCCAGCATAGATTCCAGAGCCGGTGGTGCGGCCGGACGGATGGCTGGCATCGGCGGCCAGCAGGTTGACATCGTTGCCGAAGGCCCAGCCCTCCTGCAGCTGAACGGCACTGAGGAAGGGCAGCTCCGAGAACCAATACGTGGGATAAATGATGTCCGTGATGTTGCGCTCGTGCACGAGCCGCATGGCCGGATCGTAGAACAGCATATCGAAGCAGATAAAGTGCCCGAAGATGACACCAAAGTCCGTCTCAAAGGTGGACACATCGGGCTCCACCAGCACCGAGGTGCTGTAGTACTCCTGGCGCCAGAGATGCGTCTTGCGGTAGCGCGAGACCACACGGCCCCGCCTGTCCAGCACCACATTGGTGTTGAAGTACCGCACACCGGTGGCAGGGGGACACGGATCCAGCGTTGCCGCTCCCGCTCCATTCGCGCAGACTTCCTTCTCGACGACATTCAGCACCACGTAGACGCCGCGAGAGCGTGCCGCGCAGGACAATTCCACCAGGAAGATCTCATAGTCCGTGGCATAGCAGGGCGTCACGTTCTGTGCGGCATGCGGCACAAAGGTCGCCGTCTCGCGGCTGTTTAGGATGTGCTCTGGAAAGACAATTATGTCGAGATCCCGGGCATCCGTCGACTCGATAATGGTGCGGAAGGCATTCGACATGAAGCTGGTCTGCTCCCTGGGTGTGCCCTCGGCGACACTGTGCTCCACAATGCCAGCATAGTAGGTGGGATCATCGGGCAGGGAGAGCTTCAAAATTGCAACAATTGAAACAGACATCTTGAAGGAATCTTGAAGGATTCTTACCTGTTGGCTGCCTGTCACGCAAACAGCCAAGAGAATCCACAAATGCCGCAGTGTCATGTTGAACTTCATCTTCGGACCAGTGCCAAGACCTTTCTGACAATCCACACAAATCTTTGCTGGCCAAGAAGACTACTCTGTCGGTTGGGGTTGGGGTTGAGGTTGGGATTGTCTCTGCCAAGTGTATGGCCATCCAAAAACCCTCGATAACGTTTCGTTTAATGGCACCCCACAACAGATGATAATCGTACTCTTAAATTAGGGCAACAATTGCGTCTTTGACAGCTGATAAGTATCTCCAAATGGCCCACACAGTTATCTCTGCGAGAGCATCGTTAACGTTATACGATCCATGCACATAAATACCATACATTGCCATAAACTTGAAAAATATATTTATCCTTTGGGCTAAGCTGCACAATAAAACCATCATTAGTTGATCTTTTTTACATGTTTTTGATTCATTTTAAATAAAAACCACAAGAAGCAGAAAGCTTCCATGCCGACATTTGAATTGCTAGCGCGCGCCACGGCCAAGCGATCGATAACTTATCGTTAGTCGCAAAAAGCACAGCTTAAAGCTTTGCTTGCAGCTTTTCGCTCACTTCGCGTTTTCGCGGCGTGGTCACACTCGACAAACGTTCAGCTGTTTTGTTCTTGAAACAAAAACAAGCAAGAAAAATCAAGCAGATTTCGATACTTATTGTTGGGGGCTGCTATTAAAGGCTCCCCTTACCCCGTCTGTAAGCTATAACTTATTAGTTCAAATGTGCCCTGCCAGCAGTCGCAAGCAGCAGCAGCCATAGCCAGCAGCAGCAGCATTGTGAAGGTCGCGCGCCAGTTCCAAGAACACTTTTTTTTTTGTTTTTTTTTCCCTGTGTGTGGCGCGAGAGTGCGAGCGAAACAATTGTTGTTATAGCCAGGTAATATTGCATGCTTGTTTGTGTGTGCGTGTCGGAGAGTGCTTGTTTGCATGTTGTAATATATTTACATATCCCCCAACTGATATAATCAATCTTGAAATTCCTACACTCAGAACGGAACGGAGCAGAGCATAACGACGGGCACCTCGACCAAAAAATCTTACCCGAACGTGTAGCAACCGGACTAACTGGCATTTCCTACGGCATCCATACAGTGAAATACGTAAGTTTGTCTTCAATTTAATCATCCAAAGCCTGAGGCAAGCCGAGAGCGCGATAGCTTTATCGGGCAACGTGACAATCGTAGCCCGCCGCCCGCTGCCGCCGACGCTCACCAAATCTGCCGACTAACGCTGAGAGCGCACCGATTGAAGGCTACACCTTCGGGGACGCCTCTCCACTCCGCTCCGTCTCTCCCTATCTCTCTCAATTATCAGCTTAGTCTGAAGTGGCGACTGTTAATTTACCTCTTAATCGATCAAATCCAATTAGCACGGTGAGCTGTAAAGGTTAGTAATTTGAATTGGGAATTATTAATGTATTGTTCCCATGGTGATGAGCTTTACGACAAAGCTCCCCATTTGCAGTAATTCCAATCAGATAAATACTTAAAAGCTGTTTGATTATTAAATCAACTCAAATCGTTGGCAAGCAGATTTCGCGATGTGATCACACTCGCGATGTTTTCACGCATAAACGAACATTGATTTAGATTGTGGTAGAGTGGAATATAGTGAGTGAGAGAGGAACAGGCGCTGGCTAATCCTGTTATTCTCAACTAACTGTTAACCACAACCCCCACACACACACACACACTATATAACTCCCACTCGCCCTTGCAAGCACATTGAGGGAGAGAGAGAGAGAGAGAGAGTATCTGAAAGCAGCTTTGCTTGTGTTAACCGTTAGCTAACTGTCTCCCTTTGTCTATTGCAGAGCGACATGGCCTTCAATATGAAAGCCCTGCTGGGCATGCTCTTCGTGTTTATTGGATGCTGCAGCAATGTGGTCTTCCTGGAGCTGATCATCCAGATTGATCCGGGCGCAGGCAACCTCATTACGTTCTCGCAGTTTCTTTTTATTGCGCTGGAGGGACTGATATTCACATCGAAATTCTTCACGGTGAAGCCGAAGATCGCCCTCAAGGATTATGTGATCCTGGTGCTGCTGTTCTTCGGGGCGAACGTGGCCAACAACTACGCCTTCAACTTCAACATACCGATGCCGCTGCACATGATCTTCCGCAGTGGTTCGCTGATGGCCAACATGATCATGGGCATCATACTGCTGAAGAAGCGCTACAACCTGCGCCAGTACAGCTCCGTGGCCATGATCACGGCGGGCATTGTGCTCTGCACTTTGGTGTCCAGCGGCGATGTGAAGGACAACACACACCACACGCTGCGGGTGGACACATCGTACTCGGACTTCTTCTGGTGGTCGGTGGGCATTGCCCTGCTGACGATCGCCCTGCTCGTGACCGCCTACATGGGCATCTACCAGGAGGTTATCTACAAGCGCTACGGCAAGCATCCCAGCGAGGCGCTCTTCTTCACCCACATGCTGCCCCTGCCCGGATTCCTCTTCATGGCCGGCAACATTGTGCAGCACCTGAACATTGCCGTCGCCTCAGAGGCGGTGGCTGTCCCCGTCCTGAGCGCCCTGGGCCTCGACTGGAAATTCCCGCTGATGCTCTTCTACCTGCTCTGCAATGTTGTGACGCAGTATGTCTGCATCAGTGCCGTCTACGTGCTGACCACCGAGTGTGCCTCGCTCACCGTCACCCTGGTGGTGACTCTGCGCAAATTTGTCTCCCTTCTCTTCTCCATTCTGTACTTCCGGAATCCGTTCACGGCCAACCACTGGATCGGCACCATTCTGGTCTTCTTCGGCACCATACTATTCGCGAATGTGATTAACCAGCTGAAGGATGCGTATCAGGCGAGGTCAAAGCGTCGCTTCGACATCGCACCCAAGCCAAAGAAGGTGGACTAAGCCATAAACAAACGCACTACCCCCCGCCCGATCGTAAACTTTGGATGCTGCTGCAGAGGCCATTACTAGATATTTGTTTAGTTATAAATCTAATGCATTGATTGTACATAGAATACACAAACATATTTTACTATCTCTGAATACGCTTAGCTAATAGTTGCCTCTTGATGTATTTTGTATGTATATTTCCCCGCCCCTACACCCACGTTGTCACACAATGACAGACAGAACTAATGTTGCTCTGCTCGCCTGTGAATGTCATTTTAAACAGCCGAATATTTTTTTCAAAATACACTTTTCAAAAATATGTAAACGAGAAGTTGAGAATGCTAAGGAGAGCACTTCCAGGAGGATTCTATTAAATCACTTCATGCTTGATGCCAAAGTGCTCGCATTGCTGATGCTAGAGACGCACAAGCGAATGCTGCAAAAGAGTCGATAGTTTCCAGGCCACCAATTTTAATTTATATTCCCTTTGGTTCAAGCTTTTACAGCCCGCTAACCAATACCGTCTGTAGTTCCACAAGTTCTCGCCATTCCAAGACTTGTATCTGGGGTCTTCAAAACGATATCCACTCTGGAATAGATTCATAATCGTTACCGTTACCGTTGCTTGCTGCAGTATCTGGCTGGCACAAAACAGTTGCTAGATTTTTTATCAACTAGCAAATGAGTGAAACACAATGTTGGGCTTCTGTTTGAACAAGTGCCTGAAGTGGTTTGGACTGGCGGCACTGAATGATTTTGATCGTGGGCGTGTGGTCTGGTCTTGTCTGTCTCTGGGTGGTTGGATACAAGTGCGTGCGAGTACGTTAGGAAAACAAATGTCTGTTTTATTGCCACACATTCTTGTACACACGTATGTATTTGTATATAGGTTATATGTATGTATATTTATGTATATTCAATGAGTTAATACTTATGAAAACTTGGGGGAAAACGGCGTTGGATGTTATCTCAGGCTCTTCGTTTTCATCTTCGCACACACTAAAATATCGTACATAACATTTGCTGGATTTTCTCTAGTTTTTCATTTTGTTGTTGTTTTTTTTTTTTAATTTAAATGCACAGTTAAGTACAGGAATTGTAGAACAGAAAGAGCTAGAGAACAAAAAAAAAATAATGAAGTATTTAAAATGTAAAACGAAACTCTTGATGGGATTTTGGATAGTTTTGGACAGGCTCCATGCTGTAATGGAGTGGAGTGGAGTGGACAGGATAGGAGTGGAGTGGAGTGGATTGGATTGGAGAGGCAGCTTGGGTGCACGCCGCTTGGCTGGTGGCGCATCTGGATTTACTGCTCATCCTTGTCCTTGGCACCGTGCTTGAGAATGCGCGTGAACTCGAGATAGTCGAACAACCCATTCTTGATCGGCGCCTCCCGATACATCTCATCCACCTGTGAAAGAATTGAGAGTTTAAACGGATTGCATATGGAATGGAGGAGGCTGCACGTACATCTTCGTCTGTGAAACGATCGCCCATTGTGGTGAGCAGCTCACGCAGACGATCCTCGGGCAGAACACCCATATTCTCCTCGTCGAAGCAGCCAAAGGCATTCTTGATCACATCCTCGGGATCGGTGCCCTGCAGCCGTTCACCGAACAGCGTGAGGAACATGGTGAAGTTGATTGGACCGGGTGCCTCGTTCATCATGCCATCCAAGTAGTCATCGGTGGGGTTCTTGCCCAGCGAGGCGAGCATATCGTGCAGATCCTCCTTCTCGACGAAACCATCGCGATTCTGGTCGATCATGTTGAAGGCCTCCTTGAATTCGGCGATCTGGGCCTGATCGAACATCGCGAAGACATTGGAGGTGGCGCGCTGGGCGCGCTTCTTGGTGGTGGCACGGCGACCGGCGGTTTTGCGTGATGACATCGTTGTTGCTGGAGTGGATCTCTCTCTGTGTGATGCGGAGATGTGTGGTGTGGCGCAGACCTAACCGAGTCAGAGGAGAATCCATTAATGTGGAGTCCAAATAATGTGTGTGTGCGTGTTTTATGGCTATATATAGACATATTGCAGGCCGACAAATTCCAATGAAGCTGATTTTTCGTCGTCGTGCTCCCCCAAACTGTGTCAACACTCACTCAAACACACACACACTCGTATGCATTCGCTTCACTGCTATCTCTGAGTCACTCGCGCAAATGGCAAAAACTGGCAACGTCAACGTAAAAGAGCGAGATAGCACCACCGCAGTCTCTTTGGCTTTGTGTGTGCGTGTGTGATGTGAGCGTTTATCAATGCTATTGAACTGCGGTTTACAGCGAGAGAGAGAGAAAAAGAGCTTCGGGAGGCGAAGCTTTTGATACTCTTTCGAAGCGATCGCTCAATATGTCGATTGAATGATTTAATTTATTTGCTCGACTCTAAATGCGGGTTGAGTTTTAAATGGAAAATCATTTGTCAACAGAAAGTGGTGTTGCTGTTGGATGTGCGCTACTAACAGAATCTTTTATGCGAGTGTATTTCCAAGCAGCAGCAACAAATTTGCCTCAATGAAAACATTCTCACACACACACACATACACCCTGCTCGCACTTACACAGCCTGCATTCATAGTTCAATTAAATGCCTAAAAAAAGGCATAAAAACAGACAGAGAGCAGCTGAGGCCCGTCACCAATATCTGGGTCTGCCGCCTGCTGCCCCTTGGGGCCGACTTGTTGGCGTTTTTTGGGGCCACTTGAGCATTTGCTTAAAATGGTAGACAGCACCATCTGATCAGCAAATGCTGATTTATCCATTTTCCATGTAAATCCACACAAATACACACATGCATATGCGAGGAGGAAGGCATGAAAAATTATTGTTTTGTTTTCAGACACGGCCCTCTGTTGACTCTGACTCATACACACGCCCTTTTCGGTTGGAATGCAGCGCCCTTTGTGTGGCTGTCGTTTCGTGGTTGATTGTCTTTATTTCTGGTCAATACTCACAGCTGCTATCCTGTTTGGTTAATACTTTTAAATTTTTTGTACAACTCGGCTTTAAGCTGCACTTTTTCGCTGTGTTTTTTGTTCGCGCGGACTTGGAAAGATGACAAATGTATTGGGGATGCCACATATACGATATATGAAGTCTATGATACCATCGATGCACTAACTCGATACTTTGCTGCGATAAGCGCGTTTTTAACGATGTTTTTGCAGAAATACTAAAACTCCCACAGAAATACCACTAAAATGCCATTTTAAATGCCCGACTTTGGCGGGTAGAGTTTGTAACTGGAAATAAAGAGTTTTCTCTTTCCTTTTTAATTCCAAAATATAAACACCTATTTAAGCAATTAACAAGCAATATTCCAATATTATGACCATCTGCAATGGCATTCGAATCCTGTTTTCAAAGAAAACATCGATGTTCACATCATCGTTTCACCACCTCTACGCTGCACCATTTTCCCACCACAAGCACACTGCAAAACATAATTACATCCCCACTATTTTACTGTTGGCAACATAATTTGTATGGGCCAGCAGCATGCTGCGAAAAGTGAACAGCACTGTTCCCCAACATTTGGTGGGAAATAAGCAACATTTAGTAACCCTAATGTGAAGATATCCTAGACTTAAGGTAATGTTGGAAATCTCAGGCTCCATCTAATCAATGCAATAACAAGCCAAGGATAAAGTCATTATTAATTTTTGAGAGTAGCTTGGGTACACAAATCCCCATACTAAACTAGACCTATCGGTGGACAAGCAACAAATTGTCAAGACGTAGCAATCCTTTCCCACTAACGTTACGTTTTATGCCATTTTTGTTGGTTAAACTTTTTTAACTTTGTCTTAATTTGTAAGCACTCCAACAAAAGGATGTCGTGAAAACTAGCCAATCTTGTGGAGAATTGATTAATTAATCAGATAAAATTGTAGTTAAAGCGCTGAAACTCCTCACTAGCTAGTAATATCAAATAAAACATCAACATCGAGGAATATGATTTAAGACTACGGTATCTTTACGGTATATTTTGAAAAATAAGAAGGTATACTTTGGTATATTTTTGAGGGTCTGACGGTGTATTTGATCGATATTTCCGCGGTCACACTGGTGTTTGGAAATGTTCGATATTTGTGTTAAAAAATAAAACCCAACTAAGAAAAACCATGTATGAAAGCGTTAATTGAACAGTGCTAAAGCCAGTGACTGCATGCATATCGACGCGTAAACGATCCCCAAAAGTGCATAGGCGCCTGCGAAGGCCAACACACACACACTTTGTGCTCCTATGCAGCTCCACAAGAAGGAAACCAAAGATTTCCGTGCTATGAAGATGTGTCTATACTACAGAGTAACTGTGTGAAGTGGTGTGCGTGAGTGCGTGAGAGTTCTTGAGTGTAGGTGTGTAGTCAGTGGGTGTGTTGGTGCGTGTGTGTGTGAGAGCGACCCAGCCAGGCTACTATGGCAGTGCGGGCATCTGCGTGTGTGTGTGTGTAGCACACTGAAAGAATCAATAAAGGATGTGCTGTAGATTTCATTGCTGGCAGAGCGAAAAAGGACAAAACAACGGCCGAATAGTGGTAGTAGGGACAACAACGAAAAGTGTTCGATAATTGGCAAGAACAGCACCCTCCCATCCCCCCTTTGTCCGGGAGTAGAATATACCAAAAAGAAATAAAAGAAACGAAACATTTTTTTCTCCACCAATCAACACTTGTAACGGTAATACAAAAAAACGAACAACAAAAAAAACAATCGTGAATGGCCGTAGGGGCTGTGGCGTGGTAGAAAAATCAAATAAAATATATCCCTAAACATTTCGAGTACCGTCCGATCGACCGGGTGTATACTAAACAAAAATAACAGTACTCACATTGCAAGTAACGGTATCTATCGGTGACGGGGGAAAATCAATTGGATATTGAAAGCTGAAAATTGTAAATTGAAATAAGAGGCCGCCTTCTGCCTCATTCCATCATCATCATGAAGTTCTGCCTGGTGATAACGATGCTGGTGTCCATTGCATGTAAGTTTAAAGCGAAATCCCCACCCCCTACATTCCACTCGCCACCCACTACCCTGCTGTCGCGTTTCTCTATAATCAAACACCTGCCACCCCCTCCCTCCCCTTTAGACTCCGTGGAGGTGCATTTTGAGGCACCGGACAGTGGATTCTTCCTGAAGCATGCCCGCCAACCACCTGTGACGCCGGAAATAGCCAACATACAGCAGACATCGTCATCGCCGCCATTGAAGGCGCGCTCCTCCTACGATTCGGTGCTCTCGCTGGATCGCTTCACGGTGGTGGAGACCACACAGCCGGTGTCCATACGCGCCAGCTATGGTCCATTCTCCACCAAGCAGACAGTGCCGGCTCGCTACATTGTGCCGGACACAATGGACAACAACAACAATCAGAATGGCAACAACAACCAGGGAGGAGGAGACTACATGAACGTAAGTAAAGGCCAGTGGGAAAGGGGATGCCCAGATGCAGTGCATCATCTAACTACTCCAACGATTGCAGAACTCCACCGCCACGCTGCTGGAGCTGCAGCAGCCGAATATGCATCTGGATATCTCGGCACATTTGGTTAGGGCGAGCGTGTCGCAGGATTCGCCCGTGCTGCGTGTCCTCTTCCATGCTGGCGCCGATCCCGGCGGTCATCTGCAGCGTCAGAAGGTGTGCGTTCTGCTGCATGTGGCCATGGGCGCGGAGCAGCCGCTGAAGGGTCGCTGCATGCCCGATGGCGAGGATGGGGTGTGTGTGGCCGAGGTGGTGGTGCCCCTCAGCTGGTGGCCAGCGATTCCGGCGCCACAGCGCAAGGACAACGCCCCAGCACTGCCGCCCAAGGTGCCGCAACGCTATGCGCAGGTCTCGTACAGCGTCTTTGAGCCACCGCTGCGCAACCCGGAGCAGTGCGAACCAAAGGTCCAGATCCAGCCACTGACCACATTCGCACAGGTGCCCCTGATGCCCGCCAAGACGCCGTTCAAGGAGCTGCGCGCCGACGATTCGGTCACTTTCCTGCTGCCCCAGCATCCGCTCTATCCCATGTCCAAGCTCCATGTCCCCGTCTTTCTGCACCAGTATGTGGATCAGCGGGTGGCCGCCTTCACCGTGCGTGCGCGTGTCAAGGCTGGACTGCGGATCATGGGCGCCACCGCCTCCACCGATCAGTGGAGCGTATCGATTGAGAAGGAAAATCCCAAACACACCACCGCACGGGTCACAGCGTTCCGCAAGGAGCAGGAATCCAGCATGGAATCGGCCATGGCTGGAAATCTGACCAACGAATCGTTCGAGGTCTTCTCCTGGCTTCTGGAGGTGGCCGAGGACACCAACGACATTGTGGATGGCGGCAAGATCGTGTGGTCTGTCACCCATGTCTATGACACGCCCAAGGACAAGGACTCCAGCGAACTGATTGCCACAGATGACACAAAGAAGCGGCTGATTGCCAAGCTGGAGATCAACAAGGATGACATTCAGGCGGTGCTGCCAATGGCCAAGATCTGGGAGGTGATGAACACGGCCGTTCTGACCGGCCGCCAAGTGGCACAGGCCATGAAGGTTTTCATTGTCTCCCAAGCGGGCAAGGTGGCCGATGTGACGCTCCAGAGTTCCTGTCATGCGGAGGACGAAAGTGTGATTAAGGTGCGATCTCCGGTACAACTCTCTTGATTGATTCATAAATGCAATTTCTGCTCCTCTTTAGGTTTCCTCCTCCTGCAGTTCGGTCTATGTGGATGGCTCGGAGCAGCGCGGCTCCTCCAATGCCTCGGTTATTGTCAAATATGGCACCTATGTGGGCATTGCAAAGTTCATTGTTTGGATGCCCGAATTCCCGCTGGAGGTCTATATAGCCGACTATCGCTTATCGCAGATCAAGGGCTGGAAAGTGACGGATGATAATCATTATCTGTGAGTTTTACTGCTAATTATGCTGCTGCTTGGGCTAATCCTTCTCCTTTCTCTCTCCTAAAGACACAACAAACAATCGCGTCGCCGCAAGAAGCGCTCGTATGTGTGGGGCCAAAGCCAGGGGCAGCATGGCAGCAATTATTACAACAATCTGGGAGCGGACAAGACCATCTGTCGTGCACGCTATCAGCAGAGTCCCGTGGAGGTCTATGCCAAGTTCTTGGCCGTCGATCAGGTGAGTGCTTCGTACCATATCCTTTGCTTCTGTTTTATAACTGCCTCTCCTTCGCTGCACACAGAACTCGGGACGCACCAGCTACTTCATCTCCAGGCGAACAGGTCTACGGGTCACGGACCTTGTGCAGCCGCTGCTGCGCGTGGCTGATCCCAAGATTGCCTCGCTCAAGGGTCGCATACTGCAGGGCAAGTCCATGGGTCGCACCGATGTGCAGGTTCTATCGCCCATCACTGGCCGCGTAATTGGCACCAAGGAGATTCGTGTGGGCAGCGACAAGGTGAATCTCTCAAAGCTGATTGTGCGCGTGATTTCGGGACTGCAACTAACGATCACGCCGGACAATACCATTGAGAATGGCTACCTGGCAGAGACCTCTGTGACCCACAAACTGACGGCACAGTATCAGGAGGGGCTGCTCGACATCGATCTGGAGTTCAATGATGGCTCCAAGACGCCTCTGAGGTAAGTGGGAGGGGAATTTAAACTCCAATTGAGGATCCAACTTATCTCTTGTGTCTTGTCTCTACAGGGACATTGCTGTGGAGGACTACTTCCTGCTGGTGGAGAGTCTTGATACTGAGGTGGTGGCCTTTGCTCCCATGCTGGCCTCCCATCATCCGCGTGTGATTGCTGTGGGCGAGGGCAATGGCAATCTGCTGCGCGTCACACTGCTGCTCTCCGAGGAGTGCCGCACGCGCAGGAGCACGCTGGGCACCGGCAAACAGAACAAATCGAATGTGGCACCGCTGGCCAGTGCTTTGGCCTCCATCGAAGTGGACTTTAACAATGTGGACATTGTCAGCAAACAGGAGGCCATACAAAACGATGGCACTGTAGGCCGTGGCGAGCGCAAGAGTTTCCGCCAAACCGCTGGCGATCTGGCGGACATTATTGGTACGACTCCCCCTACCAGAGAATCCCTGTGAAAATGTTCTTAAATTTTAATTGTTCTTTTTCTTCTGCAGTTGGAATACCTTTACGTGACTCTAGCCAGCAGTATGAGCCCACGGTACAGGCACGACAACATCGCGGCAGCAGCAGCATTCAGGCATCGCATAAGAATCATTTTAATGGCAAAGGTGGCATCGGCGGCACTGGCCCCATGTCCTCCATGGAGCTGGGCATGTATGTCCTGCTGACCGCCTTCTGCTTTGCCATCATTGTGTTTGTAATCTCGTGCGTGGTGTATGCCTCCAAATTTCGACCCGCATTAATTGAGTCCGGTCTGGATCCACTGTCGGTGGGCAAGGGCAATGGGGGAGCTGGTGGCATGTCTGGCGGTGGTTTTCGGGATGTACGCCTCAAGGAGTCCACCACAAATGCCCATGACTGGGTCTGGCTGGGACGCTCCACCATCGATAGGCAGTCGGTGGTGGCCGAAACCAACACACATTTGAATGCACGAGGTAAGAAGCAAATTTGTGAGCCCACATGGGGAGTGCATAGCTAATGGTGGCTCTGTTTCTCTTCTTTGTAGATTCCCGCATGCGCATTACCAGCAATCCGATCATCAACTACGATAATGGACGTCGCGTCAGCTCCTTTGATCAGCAGCCCAAGCTGCAAACGCACATTGTGCCAGCTTCGAATTTGAATAAACAGCATGCAGATCAGTGAGTTTTTCAAATCTCTGTCACAGATAATTAATTATATTTCCCCTTTTCTCTTGTAGCTATCTGGCCAATGAGCGTAAGGAATTGCCTGGAGTAGCCCTGGACTATAAGCCGCCAGTGCCGCCGCATAGGAATGTGGGTGCGAGAGCGTGTCTGCCGATTGTACAGCCAGCAGCAGCAGCAGTTGCTGCAGCTTCAACTCCAGTTCCAGTAAAGGTAACACGAAATATATTTCAATAAATTACAGCTTTTACATTCAATTTGTGTTAACCCAAGGAGGTGGCCAATAAGCGTCATAGTCAGCTCTATAAACGGGAGCACTTGCAGAGCAACAACATTCTCATCAACAATAATAACAACAATAACAACAGCAGCAGCAGCAGCAATAGCGATAATAACAACACAAATCAGCAACAGCAGCAACAACAGCCGAAACAACAGCCACTGGAACGTCCGCAACATCAGCGCAGTCATAGCCATAGCCATGGCCACAATTTTAGCCAGGAGCCAGCTGGTGCCATCATCAAGGCGGCACACAATAAAATCAAGCAACAGCAGCAGCAGCAACTGCAGCAGCACCAGCAAGAGCTGCACAACGCAGAGAAGCTGGTGGAGTACACAAATCCACATCAGAAGAATGCATTTCAATTCGATTCGCTGACACCAAAGAGAGTAACCAAAGCAGCAGCAGCCATGTCCACAGCCATACAAAAAGCCAAGGGTAAAAATATGACAGCGAGAAGCGAGAAGACTGCCAAACCCCTTTGCTAATGCTAAGTACATTTTTTATTTCCACAGAGAACCATAGCATGGTGAGCAGCACTGGGGATGCGGCCAATTCGAATGGCAGCGATGAGATAATGCGGCTGCCATCGACTGCCAGTGGCAGTGCCAACAGTCATGTGCCCGTGCCGGTGCCCACAACAAAATCATCGCGCGTTAAGCGTGCCACCGTTGTGGGTAATCCGATGTTCTCCGCCACCGTCGATGATACCGAGACACCCGGTGAGCGTCTAGGTTTGGATGATCTCGATATGGATTACGAACAGATCATGCATTACTTTGATAATTTAAAGGTGAGTAAACAGCCGCCAAAGAAGATATTTTCCAATCCATATTTCCTTTTTTTTGGCAGGAATCAAATGCCTGAGTGCAAGAGATCATTGCTAAAATTCGCGAAATATTGTCAACGTTCCATCAGCAATATCAGAATGTGGCCACGCCCATGACAACGCCTACGCGCAAACAGATGCAAATGCTCGATGAGCTGGTAGCCGCAACAACAACAACAACAGCAACCAGCTCAATCTCATCATCATCATCGTCACTGAAGTTCGAGGTTGGTAATGTTGATGCTGAAGCTGAAGCTGAAGCTGTGGCAAATACAGCCTTCGATGCCTACGATGGAGCACTGAATATCGAGAGCAGGCAGTTCTAGGGACAAAGCAAACCCAACACACAGAAACACACAAAAAAAACGGCATCTGAACGCAATTCTAGCAATAACTTTTTCTTAATGGAGCAACAACACAATCCCGCGCCACACCCAGGGCTAAATGGCGCTTAAGCAAATGCTGAAATTTGAATCAAGGAGCAGCATGGAAAGCAACGGAATAGGAGGAGGAGTACGAGGAGGAGGAGTAGGAGCAGTGCAAGCAACACAACAAAAACAACAAACCCATATTTATTGCTAGGCTAAGTTCATATTTAATGCATATATAGCTATATACTATATGTATATTTAATGTGGGAGATACGAATCCCAAATGTATCTCGAGGAGCGCGTGCTTGACACAATCGGAATACACATAGAGACACACACACACACACACAAAATGGTACATGCACATAACTCATGGATGCAGCATAACCCTCAACCTCCCAACCTCGCTCCCCACGTATATATATACACACGATGTAGTTAAGGATCAGCCATCAAAAGCATAGCTTAATCCAAAAACAAAAACATAAATGCCATTTTTTCACTCTGCTTCAGCATCTAGATAATTGCCATATCCATTCGCTGCTTTAGTTTTCACACACAAACACACCACACTCACAAATCACACGATCTCTCGGTACACCGATCATTGTATACATACCGATTGCATATCCTACAAATTGTAATACTTCTCTCGTCGAATCAACATGAAAGAAAGTCTCTCTCTTTAGTGCGTATGCCATAAGATAGAAAAGGAAAGAGAGCTAGTTTAATGACAGAGAGAGAGAGAGAGATAGAGAGAACAAATAAGAGAAGTTTCCACAAAATGTGCCGGGCACCGCTCCCAAAAGTCGCTAGAACTTAAAAACTGAATAATATATAAATATATATGTACACGATAAATATATGAATATATATTTATGATTATATTAAAATGCGCGCTAACTAACAAAAACACACACACCACACACACACACACACAACAACAACTAAAAGCAAACTTAAAGAAAAAGCTACAATACAAAAAACTGGACAAGCATTAGCCGTGTTTCCGGTTTCCGGTGTTAGGAAAACATAAAACCCATTGCTTTATCACGTTAAAAAGAATACCAATCATAAATCTTAAAATCAAAATTGCAAAACAAAAATGAACACACACAAACAACAAACAAATGGATATATAGACGCTTATGAGCTTTATTTGATCGATTCAATGCATTGAGAAGAAAGTAAACGAAATGAAGGGAACGTAATGTAACAAATAAAAAAACATATGGATGAGGGAAATATGTAACCAAATATTATATGATATTACTGAGCGATCCAAGCTTTATCTAACAAATTTACCAATATTTAGAGCATACGAGAAAATATTTATTATTATCATTATAATTATTATTCTATTATTATTGCCATTATTATGATTACGATTACGATTACGATTATTGTATTTATTATCAAGTGCAAAATTCAAACAAAACAACTGAAGGAACCCCCTTCCTAAGCCATATTTTGAATAGCAAAATTACACACACACAAAGTACATGTGCATATATATAGATATAGATATATATTCATTCACGAGCTCTCTTTAATACCTACGCATACGTGTATATCTTTGTATCTATGTGTAAAGCTGCATCCTATCTATTCGTTTATTCACGACCGACCTCTACACCACTAACTTCTAGATGTATACGGATATACATGCATATATCATAGCACACGCAAGAGCTACTTCATTCCATTAGCAAATCATAAATCATAGACATAATATATTCTAGTATTCGTATCTCTAGTTTTTTTTTTCTATTTTGTCTGTCTGTCAATTGTCTTCTGCTTTATAAGTCTGTTCAATTTCGTTTGTAAGATCTGTTTTAATGTGTACTACAACTACTTCTATTTCTATATAGAGTATACATATATACATAAATATTTATGAAATGCATGTTCACAGTGTCACGTCTTTAGTTTATAGTTTAGAGGCCATCTAAGTATTACGTTCTTGTGTTCTACACACACACTCACACACACACCACACATCATTGTTTCATAATCATATGTTGTAAATTGTTCCGTCCAAAAAACAAAAACAAAAAACAAAGCTGAAATGAAATGAAAATGATAAATGGGTAAAAGAAAACCCAAACCAAAAGCAAAAGCAAACAATTGTAAAACAAGCGAAAGCAAAAGTGTAACAAAATGAAATTTAAGCAATTTATCTGATTTGTTGTAATGCAAAAGCACACGCGAACACACACACACACACACACACACACAAATTATTTATAACCAATTTGGACAATTATTGCACTTAATGTACAGATAATACTGGGCAATGTGCAGTGCGTTTTGACAGCAAGTTGAAATTGAACGATCTTGAATTTATTCTGTAAAATCAGCAGAAGATCCATAAAAAAAGTTTGCCATAAAAGAACAGTTGCAGCATTTTCCTATAATCGATAACCATCCAAAGTGGTTCGATAATGCCATATATCCTAGTGATTCTCCGCTTTTAGCATCAAAGCGCACTGCATCAGCCAAAATATGTATTCTCAGTTGCTCTTTGTCAATCGAAATGACTGAAAATGAACTCCCCCGACACACATAAAAACCGAATTGATTTTGAATTGTAATATCATTAGCATATAGAAATTAGTTTCAATTGTTTTTTGTCCCAAAATGTAATTGTATGACTGGAATCGCTCCAGTTCCTGCACATGGTCCTAGTCCTAGTCCTAGTCCTGCTCCTAATACACCCAGACTACCCAGACACTCTCCCAGTTGAGCTGCACTACTGCCATCATTGGGTGAACGTGAGAGATTTAGGCATATTGAAGCTTCCAGCATTTACCAGTGCCATATATACAGATATATATATATAGTATATACACAGAATACAGTTACAGATTACACACACACACACACACACACACATGTACAGTGAAGTCAATCAATGGGAATGCAATCGAAGAGTTGTGGCATGCCCCGAGCTTAGCACAAGCCTCCAGTTACGAGTAGAACTGCTTGTTAGAAGAACCTCCCTCCAAAATGTTAGTCTTAGTACACAAACACAAACAAACACACATCTCTAGTAAAATTTCACAAAATTAAAGCCATAGAAATAGAGAGAGTAGAGAGATAGAGAGAGAGAGAGAGAGAGAGTAGGGATAGGATAGGATAGGAGATAGGAGAGGCTAGGAAACACAACACAACTCGACACGACACGACACGACAACAAATTTATATCTAGACAAATGCTTGGCTTCGATTCGCTATTTTGCGAATCTGTTTATATCTATGTATAACCATAACCGTATCTATGTATATCGTATCTATATGTTTGATGATTCCAATGCAAAGACTTTTAATATATGTATCTACCGTTTTTATTTGATTTTTTTTGTATCTATATACAGCATATGGTACCAATACGATGACAGTACATTTATATAGTAGAAAAGATAACTATCTATAGTATATTATGATTATTATTATATTGTTTAGTAAGACACACCAGATGTTAGACGATGAATGGATGGATGGATGGATGGATGCTGTTCTCTAGTCATTTTTTAAGGCGTTTAATTCGTTTTTGGTCACACCACCAGACACACCACACACCACACACACTCACACAACACACACACCCACACTGATAGTTTTATAAATATATATATATATATATATAGTCACAAATCAGCTTTTAACCACACCCTTCCCCACACCCCCAACTTCCCGCAAAGCCTAGACTGTATTGTATTTTGTATTTATTATCCAAATGCACACTGAAAACATGAAGAAACATTAGAAATATATGTACTACAGTTACAATTACAACTCTGCAAAACGAATCGAAACTTCTGTTGTTCGCTGTTTTTTTTCTTTCGTTTGCTTAATCGTGGACAACATCATTACATTATATAGTTAATAATACATTATATGGCATCCAGGCGCCGGCTAAGTGTAATGCAAAATAAATTTATAAAACAAACAAAAAGCAAAAAACAAACAAAAGAAATACAAAATTTAAAACTAATTAAATAAATATTGAACAAAAACCAACAACATATATACATACATATACTATATACATATAGAGAAAGAAAAGGAAAAAAAAGATGAAGGAGAAAAAAATCAGAAAAATTGTTTACGCTGCTTTTTGCAAAAAGAATGGGAAAAATTATAATTAAACAAACAAGAAATCTAGGCTATATGCATATATGATATAGGATCTACTATATACAGACATGCGACATATGTGTATGTAAAGTATATATGTATGTGTGTGTGTACGAGAGATAAATTCGCTTCGAATTATACCATTGCCAACACGGATTAAAACATGCGATTAAAGCAATTTGGAAATGGATAAACAAGTTAAACAAATCAAGTAATATATACAATATATGGATGTATGTACTATATGATATTTTGCCATGTAAGTTCCATGAATGTCCCACCTGCCTGGCCAACCACAAGATCCCCAGAGACATTACCGTCGTCCCCGCTTCAATGTAATGCCAATCCCCCACCACACGACACCACACCACGCCCAATGCCCTGCCCAAAGCTGATTTGCACCGCCCTAAAAAGGCCCACTCCTTCCAAAGAGTGTGGTTGCACACACGTATATCTAGTATAGTGTATCGATATACACATTTATCGTATATCGATATCGATCCGCCGCATAATTGTTAACATTTCTATCGGTTATTAACGTAGTTGTTGTGTATGTGTATGTATGTAAGTATGTAAATGTGTGCTTACCCCAGAAAACGATAAATGATAAACGATAAATGATGAACGATAAATGGTACAGATTAACTCGATTACTCGATTACTTATTGTTGTTATTGGCAGCAGGCGCATGTCTTTTAAGAGCTAGTGATATATGATTTCCGTTTCCATTCATTTTTACTCCTTTGAAGCAAGCAAAACAAAAGGAAAACTTTCAGATCAAACTCTCCATTCAAAAAATAATTAACATAGAAAATGAATTTCCTGCCCTCACACACACACAGCCACACACACACACACACACACACACACACATACAAAGAGTGATCTTCGCAAAATGCTTATATTACCAATATATAGTATATACACACACCATATACCATATATAAACAGCATATAAAGATTATATATACATACATATAAATCTATATATAAACGATAACAATTGTAAAAGGTTTTGCAAATGGAAAAGGGAAAGGGTAAGCATCCATTCCCTTTCCCATTCCCTCCACCCAAGTACGAGCTGAAATCGGAACAAATGAAAAATCTTTGCTTGCTTTTCCGTTCCATCATTATAACTCATTGGCTAATGCCGATCCTTCCGATCGATTTGTACCTTATTTTACCCTCTCTTCCCCAACAATGGAAAGCTGCAACAGAAACGGATATCGGAAACAAGAGTAAAAAAGGAAAAACCGAAAAGAAATGCAACGGAACCGAAATCAAATGAAATGAAAATTGAAGCAATGAATATGAAAATGAAAACGAAAACTTACGGTTGCCATGTAAAACACTTTAGTAGATGATTATTATTATGAGTACTACTATAATATTATTAAGCGATGGATGGAAATTATTTTGTTCGAACAAAACGAAACGAAGGAAGAGGCAAAAGCAAATGCAAACGAAACAAATGCGAAAAAATATTATAAATATTCAAAATGACAAAACAAAAACAAAACAAAAAAACAAACTGACAAAAATTAATTTAAATAAAATAATTTATTAATAAACCACATATTATGAAATGACATAAAACTAAAGCGAATAACTTTTCGAAAGTGTTTTTCTATGGGAGTCCATATAGAATATGGTGTACATGCGACAGCGCACCTCGGTCGCTGATTAATATTGGTTTTTATCATTATTAAAAAACTGTGCGCCAATGTGGCAATATTTTGAGCAAAATTGCAACAGTTGTTTGTTGCAAAATACCCAAAAAAAAAAGTATGCATAAGCCATACATCTGAGGAATAAGGAATAGGCCTATGCATATCGATTGGCTCTTCAATTTCCCACAAATACTTTGAATAATTCCACTCAAAATCGTTGGACAGACAGCCAAAGGGACTGTTTGGGCTCCTTTTGCTGCCATGTGATCGAGCAGAACATATTTATTTGCTCACCGCTTCAATTGTTATATAAGTTGGCACCATTTTAGGTGGGCTGTGGGGTGGTGGGGGCCGTAGTGACAGCCGTGTTCTTGAATTTTACGCAACAGTTGGCGCCGCGCTGTGTGTGATCTTGACGATGGCGTCAACCTGCAAGTCGTTGGGCCAGATCCGATCCATTTTGTTTCGATCCGTAGTGAAGCGTACCCAAACCCAAAACCCAAAGCCAAATGCGAAACTCAACGCATCGCAACGTACGCCCACACCTCCCGCCAATAGAGAGAGAGAGAGACACATGGAGAGGATCAATAACAGACAATAATGTGTTCTGTCGTTCTGTCGTTCATCTAATTGTAAGACCAACTTCCAATTTGAGAGACGAGACATCCGATGTGATCGCATAACCCCAACACTGACACAAGTGTGTGTGTGTGTGTGGGACTTTCATTTCGCTGACTGATCAAAGCCCAAACCTAGAAGCCAAAGATGCGATGCGAGTCAAGATCCGGCGTCGTTCCCATCGAAGCATATAAAAGCGCTTGGGAAACGCTTCAAAATTTCAGTTGCCTCCAAATTATTGCCTGTCGCCGATCGCCCTGTGTCGCTATCGTAATCGTAATCGCAATCGCAATCGCAATCGTAATCGCAGTCGATCTTCAATATGTCTTTTGGGAACATTGGAAACACATCGGACTTGGAGTGCGATAAGAATGAGTACCCGAGGCAGCGTCCTACGGGCATTGTGACCAAGGTGGCTGCCCACAAGCTCTCCTCGGAGCCCAAATGGGCCGACAAGCGGGATGATGATTCCGACTCGGAGGTCTCATCGCCAGATAATTTTCTAACCAAAGGTGGATTACCCCATAACCCCCCAATTGGATATATTTCTTCTTTTTGTTTGCGTTTTGTTTGTTGTGCTTTGGTGTCCTGCATGTTTCATCTGTTCTTGAAGTGACGAACAACATTCTAATGCAATCCATGATGCGCATGTAACCCGACTAACAACGAAACGAACTCATCGATCGTACTTACAGGCGCCTTTCTACTGACACCCTCCTATGAACTATCCATGGAACGGGCGGCGCTCATCTGTGAGAAGATGAGCTTCAAGGGATGCTTCAGCCTGACGAAAACCGCTACAGGAATTTTGTTTAAATTCTCACATCCAGATGACTACCAGGCGGTGTTCAAGAAGGGCTTCCACAAGGTCACCGGAGCGCGTTTCTATCGCAAGGTGAGCCACCCCAATGCACCCAACCATGGCACCCATTTGAATTCTGTTCATATTCATTATCCCTACCCCCCAGCAAAAAGATACTCCCTCCCTCACATCCACCCAACTTCATCTCTCCATCAGACAAGTGAAAAATGCAAATTTTCCATTTCCAACATTTTTGCAGCAATCGTTTTCGCGCAGCGTGAGTATTTCGATGGGTTCGGAAAGCAAAACAAACAGAAAATTAAACGAAATTAATGTTTTCCCCCAATCCGACACAACACAGCCCCCATCTTTGTGTGAATAAATGCGTTTGAATAATGTAATGTAAGCCTGAAGCCGATTTCATTCTCATTTAGATTGCCATACCATGTCGGCCGCGCAAGACCTTTACGCTCTATGTGCTGGATGTGCCAGAGGATTTGCCCGTTGAGGATGTACGTCATGCCATGTACAAGTTCGATTCGGTGGTCGAGGTGGTGCGCTTGCACATCTACTCGAGCCCATCGAGCAGCAGCAGCAGCAGCAATGTCAACGCCAATGCCTCCTCCGCCGCCGCTGCCGCTGCCGCCGCAGCTGCCAGTGCCGAGAAGAGTGCGGAAGGTGAGCAGACACTACGCAGAGCTGCTGCCCTCCGAAGTAATGTACTCTCCAAAATTGGTAACCAAAACAAAAACAAAAACAAAAAAAAACAATTGTAAAATTCGAATCCCTTTGCACATCCTCCATGCGCCATTTTGCCATACCTAATCGATGCTCGAAATTCGAATCCTTTCTGCAGGCGGCTCGAAGATTCTTGGCAGCTTGAGCGGCTCCGTTGTGGGTGATGCCATCGATAAGGCCGAGCGACCGGAACGCCGAGAGCTACCCCCGGCTGTTATCCGCATCACACTGGCCTCGATGGACGAATACAATGTTCTGCTGCAGAATGGCCTCAACTTTTACGACGCCACGTTCTTTCCCACTGAGGCCAATATCTCACTGAAGGGCGCCAGGATTGACTACAAGCGGAGGTAGGTCTCATCCCCCCTCCAACAGGGATCCGCCTAGAAAGTCCCTTCATCTGTGCCTGTATCTGTTTGCATTTTTTATTTCCTTTTTGTTATAAGAATGCTCGATGGCTCGATACCGGGGCGTGTGCGCGAACTTTTGCCCGTATTTGATGCGGCTGGCTTCTGCAAATTGCCTCCACCCACCAGTAAGCTAATTAAGCCACCGAGGTCATGAATCGATACGATCCCCAGCGATGCCAATACACACAACACAACAACAACAACAACAACAACGACGACGACGACGACATGTTCCGGCTAGATAAGCAGAGTACTCGGGCTCCCCCCCACCAATTTGACGACAAAAAGATTTCGATGCGGTTTCATTATGCTTTCAGTTCTTCACCTTCAATTTTAACTTTAATGTTTACCCTTTACCCATGCTCTCTATATACCATAAACCATAAACTATATACATAATATATTTAATTAAATATATAAATGTTCAGTGTATGGATTGCCTATGCCCTATGTCGTATGCCCCAACGTACGTTTCCGTTCTAGACATAATAATTCCTCTTTTGGCTACCATTTTTCATCTTCTTTCCATTTCTATTCTCTCTCTCTCTGTCTCTGTCTTATACATTTTTTTTTTGTTTTGTTTTTTTTGCTTAGTTTTATTATTAAAGGCCCGTATATGGCATAGCGTCTAATTTGTTTGATTGTCTAACAAAGAAAAAGAAAAAACATAATAAAAACGAATTAAGAAAAACACTTTTGAATGGCAAACGGAAATGAAACAAAACTCAATGAACCATTCGCATACGTATACATAAATATGTACATATTTACGTGCGTGAGTATGTAAAATATTTGCATTTTAGGTGGGTGTGCTGGCTATCATCTTCTGTCGCATCCTGTCTCACAGACCATGGCAGTCATGGCTAAGCGTAGTTGTGGCTATCAACCGCTGAAGATCTAACCATAGCAAACGACAATGGAAAATAAAGGCTGGTTCAGACTGAGATCGGTTTGGTTTTGCACCAATCTTGTATAAATTTAGAGCCAGGCATCTCCAAACAGACATCTTATCGATAATGCATTGGATTGCTTGTGGGACAATCCTCCTGCTGACACGACAGAACAAATACATTTTTAAGTTGTATTTAATTTGCACTTTATTTACGTTTTCTTTTTGTAGTTAATTTATTTAGATTTGTTTTAGGTATACATACATACGTACATGCATACGCACGTATAGCATTGATTGATTTTCAACAACAGACAAGCTCAACACAAAAAAAGAGACATACATAGATGGTCGTAATATATATTCGTAATTCGTAAGCATATCAATTACCATACTGTCGAATGTCTTGTATATCGTATATTGTATAATAATAATAATTAATAATTGATTTAAAGCATATAATATAATATAGTATATATATATATATATACCCACATATACATATGTATATAGCATATAGTGTATATCTGTATAGTTTATAGTCTGTTTAGGAAATACTCATCGAACATTGAAACGAATTTTTGCATGGAATTCGTCAAAAAAGTTGGTTTCTTTTTATCTTTTTGTTTTCTTTTTTGTTTGTTTAGATTTTAAATAGACAAAACAGCAACAACAAAAAAGAAGGTATATATGGAATACAATAATAATAATAATCATAATAATAATAATAATAGTTATAGTAGCAATAATAATAATAGATAATAATAATATACATGATGTGTAGGAAAAAATTCAAATACAATCATAATGTTATCATATAATCAACGTTTTTTTTGTTTTTTGTTTTGTTTTAAAAACGAATACAACAATTAGGAGGCTCGCGCGCAAAAAAAAACACTAACAAGATACAAGAGACGAGAGCACGGAAACGGATTATGGATTGGGATACGGGGATGCAAGCGTCACACACAAAGAGTAGAGGAACGGAACGGATCGGATCGGATCGGAGCGTCGTAGAAATGTACACGAGATATACACAAATACATATAGAACACGCATAGAATACATATATGTAGTTTTTTGTTTTTTGTTTTGTTTGTTTTGTTGTTGCTCAATACACCGAGTGCACAATGTTATCCTTTTCGACCAGCAGGCGAACCTTCATGCAGCCATCGGAGCCGCACGAAAAGAGTCTGCCAAATGGATCGACAGTCACCTGACTGACACCCTGGCCGGTATGCTTAAAGAAACCATTCTTGGCATGCTCATGGGGGAACGTATTGATCAGCATAAACTGATTCATGTCCCAAATCTAAAAAGAGGAACATCAATTATGGATCTCTGTTTATGGAGAGCTGTGGGCTCTGATCACTGTACCTTAATGTCACCCTCAATGGAGCCGGTGACAAAGAACTCCTCATGTGGATCCAAAGCAATGCACTTGATGGTGCTGTCGTGTGCCTGCAAAGGGGAAATGTTTGAGTAAATGTTAAGCCACAGATGGTGATAGGTCCCATACCTGATAGCGATGTCGCAGCGTGCGTTGCCTTACATCAAAGACGCAGACATCGCCGCGCTTGCCGCACGAGATGAGCACTTGATGTTGTGGTGCAAAGACCAAACAGGACGAGCCCTGATCGTGGCAGGTGAATGCTGTGTGGTGCGATTAGAAATTAATGTAAATGCTATGCTTGAGGGGCGTCTCTCTTACCTGACACACAGGACTTTTTGTGCGGCAGCAAAGTGTCCCAAATGTTGATGTTTTTATTCTCGGAACTTTGACCAGCTAAAAGAGAGAGAAATCGTTTGAATAGAGGAGGAAGCACTAGTCAGTAAGTGAGTCAAACCCACCGCTGGCCAGTAGACTGCAAGAACCAAGGAATACAAAATCTGAAAGCGTCTTATTGTGGCACTGATAGCTCTGTCGAGAAAGAGAAAGAGTTAATTATAAATTTGATTATCTCCTAAGCCGCTTTCCCGCTTCCGACACTCACAATAAACGAACGATTGTTCTGTGAGGCAATGCCCGCCTGCCAGAGGCTCAGGTTGCCATCACCATCACCGATGCCGAACTTGTTGCCCTGCTCGGAGAAGCGACAGCGTGTGACCTTTGCAAATGTGCCAGAGGGACGCGGTGAGCAGACTGGCTGCTGGTGTCCCCATTCCCAAATCTGCACAGAGCCATCCTGTCCGCCAGTTAGATACAGCGGCATCAATGGATGTGCACTCATACGCTTTACATTGTCCACCTTGTGGCGCTGCACCTGCAACAAAGGAGAGAGAGCCACAATAAAGTTCCAGTTACAGTTTGAGCTGCAGCTCATGCTCACCATGGATGTGCCGCGTCCCGACTGCGAGGCGCTCTGTGTGCTGGAATTGCTTTCATTTGGATTATTGCTGCCACCAAATTGATTCCTGCACAGGGAGTAAAGTTAAGTACAACGGATAGCAAAGTGCTCTGGGGAATTACGTACTGTTCTTGCGATTGTATTATGAGGAAGGCGGAACTATTGGTATCCGCATCCTTGGACAGATTCATCATGTCATAGTCGCATTCATCCTCATACCAATTGGGTGACTCCAGCAGCAGCGAGATGTCAAACTCCTGGATCTCACGCGGATTGGAGAAGGCGATCATCGAGGAGCTGTTGTTCTTCAAGCAGAAGGACAATATCGATTCGTGATCCTTGTGTATGATGCGTATGTGATCCGTATTCTCGCTGGTTGAATGCGATTGACCTGAGCAGAAGGGGATACGTACGATTAGCTATGGAAACCTTTATGAAGCGACTTCTTATGTACCTTCATCCGTTTCATTGTCGTGCTGGGAGCCGCGCGTGTGATGATGATGATGTCCATCCATATTCTTGCCAAAGATGCTCTTAATGAACACCTCCTGGGCGGGCTCCTGGCGCACCAGATAGTTCCACAGCCTGCGTATGGGTCCCGCCGATGAGCCCGACACAAACGGTGTGTTGTCCTTGTTCAACAGCGAACGATACTTGTGAATGGCCAGGCCATTGATGCCGCTCTCTGCATAGCAGCCGGGTATATACTGCCTTGTGGGTGGCCCTCGGGCAATCAGGTCACTCAATGCAAACTCCTGCCAACGATTGAGGGTGCGCAGCACCTCGTGCGACAATGGACTGATGACAGGAAGATCTAACAGCATACAGAGAGATAGAGTTTTAGTGATAAAATAAATAGATTGTGGGTTGAATGGTGGTACAACTACCCTGCAGCTCGATGCCTGCCACCTTGACCAGCTCCTGGATCTTGTGGGTGCTGATCTTGATGAGCGCCAAACGTAGAATGCTCCATGAGTACGATGTGGGATTTGTGTGCTCCGTATTATCTTTGGCCTTCAACTGAGTGCGACTCACATTCACATCATCATCGTCCTCCTCCTCCTCCTCGTTCTCCGACTCGTGCGAATCATCCGTGTCGTAATCATCGCATTCTGCAAGAGATTTCCAACCCAAAATTAAACTCAAACTTCACTGGTGCCGCCCTGGTGCACTGTGGCACTCACCTGTTGTGCCGGGTGGGGGCTTGGTGAGGAAGTATGAGAGCATCGAGGTCTCTGGTGGCATAAATTGCTCACGGTATGTGGGCTTATCCTCCTTCATGTTGTTCGAGGTGCTGTTCTGGCTGAAGCTGCCCAATATCTTCATGTTTAGCTTCATGCGCTGCTTCGTTATGGAGGTGACCGTATTCCACACGCTATTCTCATCAGCTGTGGGATCATCCGAAGTGGAACCTGCTCCTCCTCCTCCTCCTGCTGCTGCTGCTGCTGCTGCTGCTGGTTGGCTCTGGGACTGGGCCGAAGCGGGCTTAATCAGCAGCTTCTTCATGCCGCCCCCAAAGAGCGTGGACCAGGTATCATTGTTAAAGCTCTGACCGCTCAGTCGGTACAGCAGACGGCTGTCGCAGGTGGACAGCGAGTAGATGAACAGCGCCATGTATGTGGACACAAATGACTCGAGCAGCAGGACATTTAGCTTGGGCACATCCTCATCCTTCTCGCGGGCCAACAGGGCGCGTAAGTTAGTGACGCCCGGCCACTTGGATGGCGTTGTGCAAATGCCCGCCGGCTCATCCGTCGAGTACTTGCGCCTCCGTCCGTAGGCATTCCGACTGCCCACCAAGTACGAGCACTCGAAGGAGGAATTGATCTTGGCAATGTTCTCCATGCCGGGACTGGGGTAGCCGTTGAACGCCGAATTGTTGACCACAAAACTCTCCGAGTCGCAGAGCGATTGGTAGATGCACGAGGAGAGGGCCACCGCGAGGTCGCGCAGCACAAAGATCTCACTGAGGGCGCTCGTCTCGATGCCCGGGAACGGCAGCACCTTGATGATGCTCTGCAGCATGTCCACCGTTTGCGATTGCAAGTACTTAATGGGATCGGCAATCACCGTCTTGTTGCCGGCCACACAGGCGCTCAGCAGCGGCAGGGTGGTGGGGAAGGGCAGCGGACTGAGCAGCTGCTGTTGGGTCTTCTCCTGCTGCAACTCCTGCAGCAGCAGCACCAGCTCCATGCGCACCGAGGCGAGGCCACCGCCGCTGGCGCCGTGCAGCGAGCAATAGCTGAGTAGGGTGCGCAGCAGCGTCTCGTTGGCCTTGAGCCAGCGCTTGCGCTTGGCCGCACGCAGCACTTTCGCCTCAAAGTCCTGCTTGTCCTGCATGAGGATCTCGTGGAGTGTGGGTCGCTCCGTGCTCGGGCAAATGCTGGCATTCATTTCCTTGTCATCCTTGGCATCCGCATCGCCGCCGCCATCGTTGGCCTGCTGCTGCTCGGAGCTGCAGTAATTGCACAGCTGCTTGAGTGCCTCCACCTCGCGCTCCAGCCACATGTACAGCTGATAGCGCAGCTGCCCGCCATCCACCTCGAAGCCGGTGGCCAGCGTTGACAGCTCCTCCATGAGGATCTTCAGGCAGGCCACAAACTTCAGCTGCTGCGCCATTATATCCATTTTGTGGCCATCCCCTGAGGAGCGTCCCACAGCAGCAGCAGCAGCAGCAGCAGCAGCAGCAGCAGCCGCACCTGTGGTTGGTTGTGGTGTGGCCATCTCGGGATCATTATCATCATCTATGGGATCGGAATCGGCATCGGCATCCTCTTCATCGTCATCCCATTTGATCTCAAATTTGGCTTCCGTTTCGCTGCCAGCTGCCGGTGCACCCCAATCGAAGGCATCCGCTGTGGCCGCCGCTCCCCATTGATCCATGATGCCGGAATTGATGAGCTCCTCCTTGTTGATTTGCTGTGTGGTGGCCGCCACCTGGCTGCCGGCCACACTGCTGCCCGATGATGAGGGATCCTCGCTGATTTTCATCGGCAGCTTGTTGAGCACCTCGAGGGCGAGGGCCGGGCAGCCGCTCTTGAAGTGCCCGTGGGCTGTGGTGAAGTACAATTGCCGCTCGATGGGCGTTATGGAATCCTCCAGCTGCAGTTGCTTGTCGCAGGCGGCACCTCCGACCGTTCCCGTACCCGTGCCAGCGCCCAAGCCAGCTGTCTCGTAATTGAAGCCCGACAGCACCACATGGGCGATGCGCTTCTCCTGCGCGGACAGCGCAATGTTCTGGCGTATCAGCAGCGGATGGGTGCGCAGATAGATGTAGAAGTTAAAGACATTCGGGTTGGTGGCCTGCGGCTCGGGGCGCAGCAAATCCTCCTCCCGGTAGCTGCTGTGCAGGCTGCCCACGCCGCCCGTCAGCAGCAGTGTGTTGAGACTCTCCTGGTACTTCTTGAGCGTCCAGTAGGTCATCGAGCGCAAGAATGGATCCGGATGGGCGCGCGGTATGTCGCAGCGTCCCGTCTCGGGGTCGGTGCCCAGGACATGCTCGTGCAGCAGCTTGTGGTAGTAGCAGCCCTCGGCATCGCCCTCGTACAGCCGGGCAATGATGAGCGCCAGCTGGAAGTCCTCCAGCTTGTTCATGCACACCTCGATGGCATCGTTGAGGGAGTTGGCCAGCAGAAAGAAGGCAACAGCATGCTCGAACCGCTGCTTGCCCAGCAGCACAAAGGCGTTCTTGAGGGCGGCCTTGCGCCAGCGATCCTCGGCGAAGTTGTTGCCAAAGAATGCCGTCATCTTTTCGTCCCGCATCGAGCGGAAGAGACCCCAAACGAGGGACTTCTTCTTCATGGCCAGATAGTAGATGGCCGCATCGAGGGGATCCTGCTTCTGCTGGTACGCGCACTTGGCCAGCCGCTCCACGCAGCGGCGCAGCGTGTTGATGTTCTTCAGCCAGTAGCCCATGCCCAGATCGCGCAGCGTGGCCCAGCGCAGATCGCCCTTCGTGTAGCTGGGTATCAGGTTCAGCAGCTCCTCCTCGCTCTCCGAGTGGTAGGCCCACACAATGTTCGAGGTGCCCACGCCCTGCCGCTGGAACTGGGCACGCTGCTGCAGTGGCAGGCAGCGCAGCAGATACGTGAAATGCTTCATGGCCAGCAGAAAGCGTAAACCGCAATCATCCAGAGACTCTGTGGCTGTGGCTGTGGCACCCTCCTTGGGCACACCACTGGTGCTGGCATTCTTGCCCATGTCGGCGGCAAACTTGTCCGAGAAGTCCGTGTTGCAGGTGGCCACCGTGTCGGCGAGGGCCAGCAGATGCATCTGATCCAGCGACGACAGGCCCGGCAGATGCGTGTGTGTGAGCAGGCGCGACAGGAGCTGCCCCTGGCGTGGGCCAAAGTGCGAAATGGATTGCTTCTCGGGCAGCGAGAGACGTCGCTCGTGCCGCTTGCCCTGCTCCCCCTCCGACAGCAGCTCGTCGAGATTATCCTCCGAGTTGTGCATGTCGAAGAGCTCATCATAGTCCTTGTCGTTCTCCCCGGAATTGGCGCCGCCCTGGCAGCCCGGCGTCTCTCGGTCCGCATTGAGCAGCACCCACAGCGGCAGCGGCGGAATCGAATTGATCTCCGCATAATCGAGCATCAGCTCCTCCGGTATCTGTGTGGTGCTGCCGCGATGCTCCGCCTGAATGTTGTTGCTGTCCGCCGCATTGTAGCTGATGCTCAGCGTGCGAGAACGCGACCAGCTGCGCTGTCGGGCATAGCCGTCCTCGTCCTGGGTGACGCCATTCGAGGCGCCGTTCGCACCGCCACTCATGCAGCGCACCAGATGGGCCAGTATGGCCTTGACCCAGCGTATCTTGCCGCAGTTGAGCAGCTCCATCAGCTGCTTGGGATGATATTGCGGCAGCACGGGACAGGCAATGCGCGAGGCCTGAAACAGACCAAAGTCTGTCATGTAATCATCGCTGCCCGTATCCCCATCGTTGGGTGCACTGCCCACGGTAGTGGCTGCCGCTCCTCCTCCTCCTCCTCCGCCTCCGCCATTCACATTAGCCATACTGGTGTTGGCCAGTCGCCGCTTCTTGTCGTGCGACAGCAGCTGCAAGTTGGCGGTGCTCACTTTGCTAATCAGCGGCATGGAGGCGACATTCTTCAGCCGCAGCTGCGTCGATTCGTTGGCCAAGCTGCGCAGATCCTCGTCGCGCAGATTGCGCGTATCGGGCACATCCTCACTGCCACCATTCGCGTTGCCCAGCATGTGGGAGGTGTAGTGCGGCTTCCACTGCGAGTAGACGTGCATTTCGGAGTCCATGGCCACGACCAGTATGCCGTCGCGCACCCACGATATCTGCATGGGCAGCGGCGGCAAACCGTCCGCTGTCTGCAGATCAATCTGTCGCAGCTTCATCCATCGAATCTCATCCACGAAATTGGGCTGTGCCAGCGAGGATGCCTTGCGCAGTATGGGACGATTCACGGAACGCGACTCCTTCATGGCCTTGATGTTCGCCTGGGCAATGTCCGAGCTGACGGGCGTATAGAGCAATATTTTGCTGCCAACGGCCACTGTGAGGATGTGAGAGCCATCCTCCTTGGACACCCAGTCAAGCTGCACCAGATGCTTCTGCGTGAGCGGACATGTGTTGCCATTCTCGGCGATGCTCTTCCGCAGCGATTGCAACGTGCTGAAGCTGGGTACGGTGAGCAGCCCTGAGGCGGCCACCGATGGCTGGCGATTGACGCTGACGGCCAGCTCGGGTGTCGTCTCGCCACTCCGCGGCGAACGACTGTCATCGTGGGCCTGGAACGTGTGCAGCACCTGATTGAGGCGCTGCTTCTTGGCCAGCAGACGGCTGTCGTGCAGGTAGCTCAGATCGATGCCATGGCCAATGTTGATCCTCGGCAGGTGGACATTCTTCAGGTGTATGGTATCCTCCAGCACCCACTCGCTGCCGCCCGAGCTCTCGCACTCGTAGATGGCCACACAGAGATTGACATACCGCGAGTCGGGATCCCCCTTGTTGGGTCGCGTGAAGCTCTTGCCGTACTTGTAGGCACAGGCAATGCGACCGCTGTAGGCGGCGCTTATGTTCAGCGGCTGGCCCGGTATCTCGATGGCCGACTGCTGGATGCGGCTGAACATCTTCCACTCGGACCAGTGGTAGGCATCGCCATTCCCGTTGCCATCTGTGGGCGCATTGTCGATGGGCTCGCACTTCCAGAAGCGCGACACCGAGTCCGAGCAGGCCGTCACAATGATGTAGGGTGCAAAGCAGGCCGGATAAATGCTGGAGCTGCTCAGATGTCCCGCCGCCGGTGAGGCATGTATCACGTCCACGCCCTCGGGCAGCGGCAGCTCCTGGGTGCACACCTTCTTCGTCGTGATGGAGATGTGCGGCGCCTCCACATGCGAACCAAAGTGCTCCGCACCGGTCAGCGTCTCTGCGCCCTGCGACATGCGTCGTGGATTGGGGTTCGCATTCGTATTGGGATTATCCTCCGGCTCCTCCTGCGTGAGGTTGCTGTCCGGCACATACATGGCCGTCTCGGAGAGGAAGGAATTCTGCTGTTTGGAGCTAATGACAATGCGCCACATGTGGATGGTGCTGCCGCGCAGCGTCTTCTCGATGTTCACAATGTAGAAGGGCTCCTCGAAGTCGGCATTACGCTGCAGATCCACAATGGCATCCATGTCCGACTCGAGGAAGGGATTGTAGCGCGGCTCCTCCAGATCATGGGCATCCATGGGCGCTGAGCTGCTAACCCGCTGTCCCCCAGTTATCAGCTGTGCCTGGAACACGTGCAGAAACTGTGTGTTCTGCCAGTCGTGCTTGGCATCCGAGATGGCATCCAGCTGTAGAATGCAGCCCGGACGCGCCGTTGACTGCTGCGAGACGACCTTCAGCTTGTCGTGCAGCGCCGACCGCTGGGCCTTCATGGTGGATGAGGCATTTGAGATCATCGACGACAGCGAGTGTGACTTGTGCAGCGTGTTCAGATTCTCCGAACAGGAGATCTCCGCCAGCAGTGTTCGTGCATCAATCACAGCCTGATAAACGCGCAAATTCTCACCGTCGCTGGCCACAAAGCACGCGCTCGGGGAATTGCTGTAGCTGCCCAGTGTGGTGCTCGGCAGGAGCGTGGGTATCCAGGCCACATTGCTGAAGGCCGATATCTCCGGCGAGTTGATGCGCGCCAGTTCACTGACGCCGCCCGAATGGCACAGCGGCCCCACCGAGTCCACGCGCCACAGAATCAATTCCGAACAGAAGCCTGTGGGCGTGAAGACATCCTTGTCGTTGCCATTGCCATTCGATCCTGTGGATCCAGCCGGACTTGCACCGCCGCTGGCGGCGGAGCCCATAGTGAGGCCGCCGCCACTGAGGGGCTGCTCGAAGGGCGACATTGGGGACTTGGCCTCCGTGTCGGGTAGATTGTGATGCGATGTGGAGACGAGAAGCGGCAACACAGGGTGACAGGTGATGTCATTCACACGGAAACGATGACCAGAGGCACGGCTCACATGGCCAATGCTTAATACTTGGGTGAACTTTGTCTTGAAGGCGAACGTCAGCTGCCAGAGGTTGAGGGTGCCGTTCGAGTGTTTCGTGACCATCGACACGGATGGCGAGACATTCAGGGGCAGGGCACTGGTCACACCATTGCCACTGGCCCCTGCTGAATCCTGCGAGCTGCTCGCCATACCAGCACTGGCCGCTGCACTATCGTCTGCATCGGGATCCTCGCCACCGTCCTCATTGTTGTTGTCCTCCTGCTCCTCGTCGTGCTTCTCGAACGCATGCTGGTCGGCGCTCTTCAGCGACGAATCATCCGCCTGGCCGCTCTTGTGGAACTCATCCTTGCTCCTCACATTGTTGGCAATGTCCCGAAAGGCCAGCGGATGTGTGCCCGTGTTGAAGAGGCTCACCGTGGTGGACATGGACATGGCATCGCCCAGGGGAAAGGCCGATGGAATGCGCGTCGAAAAGGATACCTGCGCCTGCCGAAACGAGCCCGGATAGTAGTCATCCAGCCACTCGATCACCCAGATCAAATAGCTCCCATCCACGGGATGAATGGCAAACAGGAGATCGGGACTCTGGTGCCAGTCCCGCAGCAGACATTCAATCTTGTTGTCCAGCGAGTCCACCAGCTGTGTGATGGGATGCTGCTGCTGATTGTGATGCTCGTTGTTCAGCGAGTTCTGTGACGTTGTGTTGGACATGGAGTTCAGATGGAGACCCGCTCCAGTGCCGGTTGTATGCTGCGAATACTTGCTGTACTCCTCGCCGCTATCGTCCACCGAGACGGACTTGGACGAGCGTAGATATTTCTTGTGCGCATGCGTGCCACCGCCGGGTGCTGCATCGTCCGGCAGATCCACTCCGCCGCCTCCGGAGTGACCGTGGTGTCCGTGATGGCCGTGTCCGTGATGGCCATGATGCCCGAGCCCGTTCTCCTCATCGATCACCTTTTTGGTTAGCTCCTGGAGTATGGCCTCCGCCTGGAGTGTGAAATGCATCTCCTTGTTGTTCAGCCAGTGCAGAATGAAGACGTTCTGATTGGCTGGGTCTGAGGTCTGCATCGATGGCACCAGCGGTATGTCCGTCTCCGCATTGATGGAAGCCGCCAAATGGAAGTGCATGCCGGGCGTTACGCCCGATCCATGAAACCCATACGAATGGAAGTCATGGACGCTGCACGACGACGGCAGCGATGGTATTGGACCCAGATAATTGCTAAAGCTCGCCGGCGACGAGCCCATCGCACCGCCCATTGCTCCAGCACCCATATGGGCCGGTGGCAAAATGCCACCAGGTCCGCCCGGTGCGGCATGAGCGCCCGCCTTCATGTGCCGCCTGATGTGAAAGCAAGTCTTCATGTGCTTCAGACGCTGCATGAACCGATGCTTGTGCCGGTGAGTACGAAATTTGGGATTTTGCGAATTCTGCGGATCGAACTGCGTCATGTTGACCATCCCGTCGTCGGGCAGCACCGTCTCGATCCAGATGCGACAGATGTTGTCCAGGCAGGAGGTTACCAGCATATTGGCCACCGATCCCTTGGGCATATACTTGCTCGTCTTGCGCCATACAATGTTCGAAACGGCACGCGGATGGGCAATGTAAACGTACGTGAAATTCAGCTCTCCAATGGCCGTGCTAACGCCACCTGAAGCAGCTCCCATGCCCGACCCTCCTCCTCCTCCGCTGGTGCTGCTGCTCAAGTCATCCGTGTGACGGGTCGTGCCTTTGGCGGGGAACAGCACCTGCTTGTTCTCATACCAGATCTTGACCAAACGATCGTTGCGGCCGCAGGTGGCAAACAGTGTGCCATCGGGACTAAATGCCATATGGTAAATGGGAATGGCCGTCTGGCAGGACCAAATGTTCTCCCACGTTGACACATCATCGCCCTGATTCGATTGCTTCACCTCTTTGCTCTCGCCAATTTCGAATTTTACACCTGCAACAACCAATGAATATTCTCAATTAATTCATCAAATTTGGTTCATGGATCAACGACTTACCCGTATGCTCCTCCTCCTGCTGGTGTGTGGGCGATTTGCTCTTCCAGAGCTGTATGTTGGTGCCGCCGGTGAGTAGGCGTGTACCCTCCAGATTCCACGAGAGGGTCACCACACTCGAATGGCTGGTAAAGGAGCCCGTTTGCACCCATCTGAGGGATAAAAGCAAACAAAATATGTTGAAAAACGTCTTCGAAAGCTGCAGCTGATATGGTCTTGAATCGATATTTCGTGAAACGTTTGCTATTATTACGCTTTCAACTGGAGCGCATAATAGATTTAAATGGGCATTGGAACTGCCTTCTCGAGCAACGCCCAAAAGTTATTTTCAAAATAAATTGTAGCGATTGTTTACAGCGAGTAAAAAATGCTAAACTTTCAACGAGTTGTATCTTGTACCTACTCGATTATGGGAAATTTGTGCAGCGAATGGGATCACGGGATATTTGGCACCTTCCAGCTTTACATAGTTACTTCATGCTTGTATCTACTCGCTTATGGGATATTTGTGCAGCGAATGGGAACACGGGATATTTGGATATTTCACACTCGAGATAATCTCACCTGTAGTCTAGGAAATGGGTATTATGCTTGCTGGACTCAATCACCGGCGTGGGCTCAAAAATGCATATCTTATTCTCATAGGCGGCCGCTATTTTTCCCGTATCGGTGCTGCAGTCAAGGGCGGATATCTTCACGTAGCCATGACTGGCGCCCGGTATGATTTGGACACGCTCGAAGGTGCTTGCCAGGATCACCACATTGCAGCCGGCGGCGTAGGCCTGCAAAAAGAGACACACACATGAGTTAAAGAAAGGAAAACAAAAGATTGGTTATGGCAAATATATGGAGTACGGTAGAGGTGTCTGTGTCTGTGTCTGTATGCGTTGTGGCAGCGTAATCTTTACATTTTCTATATCACTGTGTGTTGGCTGCGATAACCGACCACTGCATGCGGACTGGCTGGGCTTATCATCGTCATACGGTTTCGGTTGACAAGCGACCACCAACGCAAACCCACCTCAAGGGTTGCCGAAGGGGTGGTGAGACGGGGTTTACCTGGTTATAGCTACTCCAATACTTTTTTTTTTGCTATTTATGTGTGTGTGTGTGGTGTTTGATTTATTTGCCAAGCTGTCGCTGATATTCTCATTATCGTTTAAAAAATAAATTCCAACAATTCAGCAAAACAAAGCTCCAAAGTCGGAGTTTTCACACAGAAAATCGTTCGATTATCTCCCCCTTAACTACTGTCCTGATCATTTCATTTCAATTCTTTTCCATCAAGGTATTGTGATAAGATAGAATTTTCATCGCTCTTGCAATTATATTGCTATGATTATTTCTAGATATTGATCGGTTATGAGTTTATTCTCAGTGAATTATCTTCTACTGGCTGCGTATTTTCTACTCTTACGGGGCCCGTTATTCTTTTCCTTTGTACATTCTGCTGCTGGCGAGACAGCGTGTATAGCGAGACCCGCTCAGAGAGGAGCGTAGTAGCGAGAAGATCAGGTCCTCGGGTGTTGCTGAGCCAAAGAAAAGGAGGATGCCGCTTGGATCGCTGGATAAGGTGGCTAGGCATACAAATTCTAACGGAAATAATTAGATTGTAAGCTGTTCCGCCTTAGCCTTCTACGGTCTGAACCTGCTCGTGTGTCTCCTTCTCATTTTTCTCTATATATTTTTGCGAATTTGTTCTTACAGAGTGCCGTGTACTGCAGTGTGGCGCCGTCGTCAGACGAATGTCTTGTGTTAATTTCATCCAAAAATTATAAATAAAATACAACTGAAACTAAAATAATGGCAATAAGTGTGTGGGGTGGGGGCAGAGGGGCATACGAATGTCAACATCGCGGTGGCGGAAGAGGAGCTGATTACAGAGAAGAAAATAAATAAAATGCTCGTAATATGTGTGTAAATATACCCCAGGGACAGGCGCGCGGCAGATGTTCCGATCATTAGAATGCGCCACAGTTAATTATGTTTCAGTTGGCCGTCTGTGCAAATATATACACAAATAACGTCGATGCAGGGCCGGGGGGGGAGTCTAGATCCTATCGCCATGTGATCGTAAAGGCAAACGTTATCGGTCCTATGGCAGATACAAATATTCTTAGGATTGATCGTTAATCCATATCATTTGGTTTATACAATTTGCCGGATATTTGTATCTAGAAATAAAACTGCAATTCGAAATATCTCTGGCAAAGGTATCGAAAACAGCCGAAAGCACATTTTAAATGCGTGCTCACGACCATACCAATATTTTTATGGCCGTTTATGATTTTTTACTCGATTGCTTATGGGAGGAAGACGTCACGTCAGACGATTGATTACCTTAGCAGGAGAGAGAGAGAGAGAGAGAGAGAAAGAGAGCGAGGGACTCTGGGAGCGTAAGTTAAGGTTTAGCCAGAGATGGCACCCACTATAATAGCACATTTTACATTATTTTGCGGTTAAGAGGGATACCCCCAACCGAAAGAGTGGGGGGGTATGCCTATGACCTACGGCTTGCGGCGTGGGCGAGCAGAATGTGAATGCCTGTGTGTGTATGTGTCTAAGAGGTGGTGTAACGCTGCAAGCTGCAAAATTAGGGCATCATCAAAAGGCCACCTGACCAATCGAAGGGTACACACACACACACACACACGCGCGCACGCATATGTTTATATGCATGCATACGTACATGTACGCATTCTGCTCGTTTCGGTGTGGGTGTGTGCGTGTGTTGTGTGTTAGCACTTGACCTTTAAATGTAATTTATTGCCTGGCAAAGTATGTAAATATGCAGTTTACTTTTACATATTTCAAATCGACCAACATTTGGCAAAAATATTGATATTTCACTCCGTCTCTTTTCCTCTCTCTCTCGCTCTCTTTCTCTCTCTGCCCGTGTTGCTGTTGCTGCTGCGGTTTTTTTTTTGTCAACTCAAGCAATTTACGCGCATTGGTACACACACACACACATGCACACACACTGGAGCACACACACACGCATTACCAATCGTTCACAATTTGTTGTTGTTATCGAATTTACACACAGAAAATAAAATTCTCTATCTCATCATTTGCATTTGATTTAATTGACCACCAAGTGTGGCAAAATATACATTCATGTAGTATACTATATTATATGTACATACATGTATGTACATATAACCAATAAAACAGCATTTATATTTCATTGGCCTTTAAGTGTGTGCATCAGGCATGCACATATGCATGAGTATGTATGTAAATAACAAACATTAAGGGGGGGTACATGGACATGCTCATGTGGCGACCCAAGAGGCGCTCCACTCCGCTCCGATCGGTGTCTCTCGGACCTTTCTTTCCAATTGGAATTTGCAAATATGTCAAACGCGTTAGGGGCAAAAATGGGCGAGTGTATCATTTGTATGCCAGTGAGTGTGGCTGTGTGTATATGTCTGTGTGTGAAATTGTTTTACAATGGAAAAAGATGATGCGTGATAAATATAACGGATAGAGCAATGGTGGGAGTGGCGGGGGAGACTTGTACTATTCTCTCTTACTGTAAATGGTATGCCTTCCACGGAGCCAATGGCGAAGCACCGGTCACCTGCATTGCAGGCGCCGCTCAATATCTGATGACAATTCATAATTCTTTACAATTAATTATCACATCACAGCGCACGGATTGTAGAGTTGTTGGTTCTTTGGTTTTTTGGTTTCTAGCCCGTAACAAACTTGCTTGTAACAAACGACAACAAAGTGACATTACATAAAAATAAGTAGGGTTGTCAAAAAAATATCAATATTATCAGCATTTATCGATGTATGAATAAAGTAAAAGATATTCATATCGATATGTATGCTTGGGAAATTCTCCAATATATTAATACTTTTGATATTTTATATTGGACGAGCACATATCTATATTTCAGTGACATATATCGATATTTTAATGCGATATATTCAATATCACATCTGTGGAAGGTGCTGCAGAAGCGCGACATTTCCGTTGATCATTTATAACTATAAGAAGCTACAGGAGAAAGAATCTACTCTCCAATTCGGTTTCCAGCTCGCAGGCTCCAATGTGAAGTAACTCCAGGAGGATGAGGATGAGAGACCAAACGTAAACAATCAAATGTGCTCCACATGCCTTCGGCACAGCCACCGGGACAGCCCTGTTCCCCTCCTACTAGCGAACCAGGAACCATGATTGCCCCACCCAACGATTCCTTGTGGCGTGAGTGTGGTAGGGAGTGATCATCGAATGGTTATGAGACTCTAAAAGGTTTTAAATTGTATACAGGAGGACATATTGAAGGCGATGCTCACAGATCTGACAGTGGAGGATATCATCAGCCTGCTGGAACGCTTTGAAATCGGCCATGCCGAGCCTGCTCCTTCGTATTGCCATCAATGGACGCATGCGGACGCACTCAGATGTGGCAGATGTCTAATCGGTAGACAGATTGCCTAAAATGTATTCCCTAACCATTTTCATGGCTAATTTCTTGCAGATTGCACACATTCTGTGTGTTCCACGTGTCTTTTTCGCACCAGAACGTCGTCAGTCAACGTTTGAACCCGGAATGGTTAGCATCTGAGTCTTGTCCAGACCAGTCTTCACGTAAGGCATCCATACTGAAGCAACAGACGAGCTGCTACGCGTCATCACGGACACCGCTGAGGGCAACCAGAGCAGCCAGATTGATCCTTTCAAAAAGCTCATCAAAGGCAACATTTAATTATTTGATTTGTGTTCATTGTAAAGGAAGACTCAGGGCTAAGATCAAGTGTATTTATGTTTTACATATTTTTGGTTGCCAAACGAACGAATTGTTACAATATTTGAACTATGAATCGGATGGAAAGAATCGAAAGATTCTACCACTTCCAGTCTGTCGGGTGGAATCATTGTCTTCCCGAATGGATTTAAGCTTTGAGAATATTGTGACGCTCAGCGCCTGACTTGGCACTTTGCGGGTGATCTTTTGCATGTAAATGATCGTCTTCTTTTGTAATTCTGTTCCTGCCAGAAGCTGCTGGCCTGATTGCCCCCGGCATTGATGGAAATGGGCGTAGTGCCGGACTGCTCCTCTTCGGCTGGGTCATTGCCGAGCTCCATTGCCGACTGCCTCGGGTCCGTCTTGAGCTCCACCTCCTCCTGTCTCCTCCAGATCATCTGTATCGTCGGAGAGGACACGCAGCAGTTCCTCAATGGTTTTGAACCTGTTCTGCGAAGGTAGGTCTTCACCGGATTCTTCTGTTACTCCCGTCTGCGTTTCTTGCCCTAATCGTGGCTCTGACATCGGTTGACTTTCTTGTATGTTGCGCGCTTCGTAAGAAGGGATGCTTCCATCCACGTTACAACGGGCATCCATGTTTAATTGTTGCTCGCAAAGAGCGGTCCTGTCACTCTCGCCACAAGGGGCGGCTGGCTTTGGCTCTGGCTTCGTTCGGATCTCAACGCCCCAATAGATGCTCCCTTCTCCCACTCTTTTCCTCGGATCTCGAATGAGATCTGGGATCTGACTCGAAATTTTATTCCGTTTACCGTCCTTCTTTCTCTTGCGAGATTTAACTTTCAACTTCTGTTTTACCACCGGAGTTGGAAGTGGAGCAGCAGCAGCAGCAGCGGAATTCTTGTCCATTTCGCTGTGAGGTGTATCCATCAAGGACGTATCATACTGATACTCCCCAATCTTCTTTTTTTTATTCTTAGCTGACTTTTTTTTTGCCATACTTCTCAAAAGACTTCTCAAACCCGTAAAATAAAGATGAGCCCTGGTTGCTACGTTTTTTCAAAGGAACATTCAAACCTTCAAATTCACCGTCAGACCCTCGGAGATATACCGAAATATAACATTTCATACGCAAAATATACTGTTTATCTACCGTAAATCTTAAATCATTTACATCGACTTTGATTACCAGTTTTTGGGATTGTCTAATTCATCAATTAATTTTCCACAAGGTTGGCTTTCACGATTTTTCTTTATTGGATTAATTGCAAAACTCAAAGGAAGTCCATTGGCAAAATAGCAGAAGAAATATTTTGTAAGATGTTGTCAGGCCTAGGACGTAAGGGGAAGGGCCGAGCATAGTGGCGCCACCTGGTTGGGTAATCCAGGAGTTAGGGGGTGACTAACGAACTGAATAGCGGGATCCCGGAGCCAGCTCACCCACCCATCCATATCTTTTGTCGTCAGAATCAAGAAACAAGCGCAATGGGGCTACAAAAGAACATTAAATGAAGAACAACGATTTTTTGGATATTATAATTTATTAATCTAGTACTCATTTTAACAATTTATAAAGAGATTAAACGCATGTTTAATGCATTTATTTCCCTCCGGAACGGACTTATCCAATAATGCGGTGGATTCATGCATTGTTGTCCTCCAAGCACCATATCCGATCTGAACACGCACCTTCTTCTTTCAAACAAAATTTGAATTTTTAACGGTTTGAAAAAAAAGTGCTGCAAAAAGTGAGCATTTGGCACGGAATAAGCAACATTTCGTACCAATCAATGGAATAACAAGTCAATCTATATTGGAAATCTATCGCAAGGAAATTTTGCAGATTATAGATATCGAGAATGTATCTAGATCGATGTACTTATATCGATATACATGTTTATAAATAGAAGCAAATGAACATGTCAGTCTATGATAAATCCAATATTAATGTTTGAGAGCAGCTTTGAAATGAAATTCATTAATTTATGGAAACATGGTATAATGCCCATACTAAACTATACCTACCGGTTGAGAACACGTAACTCGCGTACCACTCGCGTAACGTTTAATGCTATTTTTGTTGGTTGACCATTTTAGTTTTAAACTTCATTTGGAAATATTCCAACAAGAGTATGTCGTGAAAATATGCCAATCTTTTGGGGAATTGAATGATAAATTGGATAAATATATAGCTTTAGTGCTGAGACTATTAACTAGCTGGTAATATCAAATAGAACATAAAAATCGAGGAATATGATTTAAGATTATGGATTATTTACGGTATATTTTTACAATTAGAAGGTGTATTTTGGTATATTTTTGAGGGTTTTGCTGTATATTCGATCGACAATTCTGCGGTCACACTGCTGCTAACATTTTTGCATCGCGCCGCGGACCAAAAAATGACCAAAATAATTGTGTTTGTTTTATTTTTGGTTGATTCATTAATTAATTAATAGCGGTAAATACGAAAGAGCAGCAGCAAAAGCAACAAACACTGTTTCGCGGCCGTGGCGTGAGTTCAATTTTTTTCTTGTGTGTGTTTCATAAAATTTTTTTCTTCTGGGGAACCGTGCATTTTGAAGAGCGAAAGGAAAAAGCGAAAAGTGTTCAAAAGTGCGTCTGTTGTTAGCAAAGGGGGGCTGTGGGGAAGAGTCAGAAAAAGCGGTTGACGAAGAAGAAGAATGAGAGGAAGTTGTGGCGGGAGGCATTCAAATCAAAAAAATATACCTTCGTAATATATTTTGTATATATGTGCATACATACATATATATATATATTTTTTCCTACGCTGCCGCCAATTAATGCCATCGGCGGCAGCGACGCCAAGCAGTGTCACAAAAACAACACCAGCACAAATACAAAAAATGAAGAGTAAAAAGAGCGGCGGCTGCAAAAGCAATTGTGTTTTTGCAATGTGAGCATTAAAGAAATGAAAACTGCTCTTTAAACAAATATGCAAACGGCAAACAGAAAAAAATAACACGATGAAGCAGAAGCAGGAATGAAGGAAAGAAGAGAAGCGCCAGAGTCCCAAAAAAAAATGCGTGTGTTTGTGTGTGTGTTTGTGCGTGCGGTGCGCCACATGAGGAAATGGTCAGCGTCGGCGTTGGCAGCGTGAGCTTAGTTACAAAAAACGAAAAAAGCAAAGCAAAAACAACAACAAGAAAACCTGACTCATTTTGTTGTTATCCTCCAATTACTGTTATTCTTATCAGCCGCAGAATAAAGAAGTGTGCGTGTAGATGTTCGTGTGTGTGTGTGTTTTGCTTATTTTACTTTCTACTTCTTCCCCTCTTCTAATCCACATTCCCTCATTGTCCTGCAGAGTCTCATACCAAGTGTAAAAAGACAACAAAAGAGTAGAATAAAAGCAACGGTACAAAAAATAAGGAGCGGAGCAGCAGCAGCAGTGAAGAAAGAGAAGCATCAGGCAGTCACACGACGGCGACGATCAGCAGAGAGCAGCGCAACAGGAACCACCTCAACCTCTCTGTCACTTAACCTCTCTCTCTCTCTCTCTCTCTCTCTCTCTCTTGTGCACTCCATTTCCCGGTAAGTTCTACCTCCCTCTCTGAATTGTTGTTTATTTGTGAATAATTTGAAATTGTATTTTGGTGTAAATCTAAACAAAACGGATGAGGTGGAAATGAAACGGCGAAGGAAGAGGAAGAAAGCGAGCAGCGGATGGGGAAGAGAGAGCTGAGTGGGATTTACAAAAGGAAGCAGTAGATCAAATCTGATAGCAAGCAGTGGAAAAAGCAGCAGATGGATTAGAAGAAAAAGATTGTAGAAGAGAGCGGTACAGGATGTAGCAGCAGAAGATGAAACCATCGCGCTCTCTTTTCCTTCCACATATTACTCTTCTCCTTCTTCTTAAGTCGTTTCACATTTCCCGTTGAGCAGCAACAGCAACAAACACAAACAGCGAAAGTTGTCTTCCTGCTTCTGTTGTTGTTTCTCTTCGCGCGCTCTACCCATGGAGTGGCTTCAAAGAGAGAGAAAGGTGATCCGTAAAGCTTTGTCTCATTCTCTGTCACGCTCTTCCTTTTGCTGCTCCTCTTTGTTCTGCGTTCTCTTAAGCCTGCAACTCCCTTTGATGCAATACCCTGTACTCAAAAAATCCAACTGGAATTCACATAGCAGTTACACGGTATCCCTCCCCAAGTCCACTCGTTTTTCTTTTGTTCTTTTTATTGCAGCAGTAAGATAATTGCACATTTATTTAATTTTTGCCAGCGACTCTTTCGTCGCCTTGAAACCTTTTAAGCAAAACAAAAAGCACACAAAAAAGCATGAGGGGGAACAAAATAAATGTATACAAAAAAAAGAAGGTTAATCAACAGCAGCAACTGTTGGGGCAAGTTCGTTTGCCTCGTGCTCTCTGCGGGAAAAGGTGAAGACAGTTGTGTTCCCAGGCCCCCGTCCGACGTCCAACGTCTCTCAGGTATCTCAGGCTTTTGGCTTGTCCCAAGGTTTTATGTAATTTCTATACCCTTTCTTGTCAGCGGATAAGTCTGATTTTCCAATTAAAAAGCAAGGTACAGATCATATAAGCAGACGATCATAATCAACATTCAAATGCAGGAGTTCTTATTAATATTTCTACCAATCATTTGTAAATTTTGTTCGCTACCAAGAAAGAAAATCTATCAAAGGATAAAGTTTTTTGCACGTTTCCAACAATAATCCCAGTTCAATTTGGCGGGCGACAGATTGAGGGGCAGAGTATTCCACTGTCGTACCCTTTTGCCGATGTATCTCTTTTTGTTTTGTTTTTGTTTTCTTTGTTTGTTTGTATTACTTTTGCTTCTTGCGTGCAACAATCGACCAACAAGAAAAAACAACAAAAACTGAGGTAATAACAGCAGCAAGTAGTAACCGAGCGTAATCGTGATTTGGGGCCACAATTCGACTCCGACTTTGTGTGGCTTCGAGTCCGAAAATGCCCGTTATTATTGGGCCAGCCAGTATTCGGCTATAAACTCAGACTTTTGTTGCAACAATTGTTGCCACCAATTTTTGGTGGTGGTGGGGGGAGGGGTGCAATGGAATGAGTGCTGCCTGAGTTTTGGGTAATTCTCTGCTCATTAAACATAATTATCCATTGAATATACATATTTACCAATTTTCCATCCAAAGATCGAGTTTGCAAAACTGTTCATGCCATGGTGTATATTCGATAAATATCTAATATGATCTTATATGGGATGCCTTTCTATTGAAAAGAGAGTCTATTGCTGCCCACTCCCCCTTTAACAGGCTCTACAGCTTGCTTTCATCTGCCACACTGCTTTGTTTCAATGTGTTGAGGTGGACAGCCAAAGGATCGTAAGTCTCTCCAGTTCTTCCTCTACGTTCTCGAATGAGCCATCAAAGCTCACTCTCTACCTGCCTGCCCCTCTGCTCTGTGTTCTTCTCTCCATTACTCATAGTCCCCTTCCATATCGTTGTTGCTGTTTTTGTTTTTGTGGGGGTGGCAGTGGGGAAACAACGGCTGTCGCTTTAATTAAGCTCCGGACATTTGTCAACATCTTTTTTTATATTTTGTTATTGCCATTATGTACCATTGTGTGGTTGTTGCATTTGTAAATCGCGTGAAATTTACAGCGTTATACAATTGTTAAATACTAGAATTAAACATTTGTTTTGTCGCTGTTGCTGCTGCTGCTGCTGGTGCATGACAGCAGCGTACAGCAGAATAGCAGAACGAGACGATAAGGAGAGATGGGAGGGGAAGGTGGATGGAGAGATGACATAACCCCTCCATTCCCATATCTCTCATTATTATTCAGAGACAAGCACATACACATACATATGTATACGTACTAGTAACCGATAAAATGCCTTACGATATGGCAAATATTTCAACTACTTTTTTGGATACTATTCTAGATGTTGTTTTTGTTGTTGTTTCTGTTGGCCCATTTCCGGTTCTTGTCAACTGCTTGACTGGCAGAGTTTGTTGTTTTTGGTGTATGGCGGTGGCGAGGGGTTCTTTGTATTCGTTGGAGAGAAGATGTAAAAGCTTCAATAAGATTCGTATCACTTGTTTCTCTGGCATTCGTATTATGCGAGAGTATCCATCTAAGTTGAATGCTAAATAAAGCAGTAAAATCTTTGCATGTTAAATGTGGTCGAAAGCAGTAGAAATGTATTTGTAACAAAAAAAAAAGGAATCACTTACAGAATGCGATGTGGCGCTCCAGCCACTTGCCGATTCTCTGCTCCCTTCATTTCTGTTTTGTTCTATTTCTCCTACTCCGCCTGAAGAAAAGTTCTGTCATTTCATTGGAGAAACTCTCTCTTATAGCAATAACAAAAAAAAAGACGAAAAGAGCAGAGCAGAGCAACCACAGAAACAACGCGCAATAGTAAGAACACAACTAGAAAACAAGTGGGAAAGGGGAAGATCGAGCAAAAGAAGTAGAAAGAGAGAGAGAGGGAGAGAGAGAGTGAACGAATGAATGAATAAATAATCAATGGAATGACCTTGAAATTCTTCTTTTTCGTGTGGAGTGTGTAGAAGTAAAAACAACAGAATCTGAGAGTAGAGCGCACGAAACCAAAACACACACAAAATATAAAAAATAAAAGGAACCAAGTAAAGACTTGAGTAACTGGAGAAAGCAGTGGAGTTTGGGTAACTAGCAAGCAGTAGTGGCAATGTAAAGCAGTGTAATACATAGTTCATCGACTGATGTGAAGAATAATTGAGAATGTAAATCTCCAGAAATGAATGGCTTTTGCTCACTTGAAAGTTTGAAGACCTTCCCAAAATGTCTTGTTCTTTGCAGGTTGTTTACAGGCTTCCCAAGGACACAAGACTCGGTTTATATTCCTAATCCTAAAGGATAAAACCTATACACGGACGGTGGGTAGGCCAGAGAGAAAGTGGGGGAGGAACGAATGTCAGAAACCACAAAAACACTCTCTGATTGGTGCTGCTGCCACCGCCCATCCTGTGGAGCAATCGGACACCTTTTCGATGCAAGGGGAAGGGACCCTGGCTGTGTCACTCAGGTGGCACTAGTGGCACTCTGATTGCCAAAGGGCGTCCGGTGCAGGGATGTGAATACATATCACGCCAGTTCCCCCCCTGAGCCACCGAACCCCATGAACTCCTGAGCCCCGGAGACCGGAAAAAGAGTCGAAAGGGAAATGCAGCAGGAAGTCCAGTACCCAGTCCCCAGTCCCCAGTCTATCATTTGGAGGCATGTGGCATTGCGGGAGGGGGGTACGGCTCTGTCTGTTGGCAACACTACAAATGATTCTACATTTTTGTTTCCACCTGTTCTTTCCCTCCTCTTTTCCCCATGGGGTGGGGGGAGTGCTCAGGTTCAAACTCATCAACGTCGCCATTATCAACGTCGAGCATTGTGATTATCCTGCTGATTGGGGCACTGCCACTGGCGCTGTCTCTCCCCCATCCGCTATCTATCCACAGCCCAGGGTATCGGGTGGTTGAGACACGTGTCTAAAGGGGGTGCTGTGGGGAAGGGAACGGTGAGCGAGTGAGTGGGTGGCAGCTGCCGTTGTGTTCTGTGTTTCCTCTTATCAGAAAAAACAAAACAAAAAAAAAGCAGCAAATGTGGAATCAAAAGCTGTTTTACGTTTGGCCACAATCGTTTGGTGTATACCCTGTAAAAATAATGATGTGGTCTTTTAAATATGCAGAAAAACCATAGAATAATCATTAAAATAAGTGATAAATATAAGAAAACGAACTGAAAATTCCAAATTAAATCAAATCACCCACAGCAAAAGGGTATCAAAAGCCATGGCACAGACAAGCAGACAGACAAACTGTACAAACAGAATAAGTGTGTGTGTGTGTGTGTGTGTGTGTTGGAACGTGTGGAAGTGTTCAGCGGCAGAGACAGTGGCAGAGCAGAGTCCAGGGTTGTAGAGCGGGAGATGTTCTGGAACGTGTAATAGGGGGCAGAGTGCGGCAAAGGGGAATGGTCGCATCATTGCAAATGCGTTGGAGGACACAGCACTTGGCTAACACAAGACAAAAAGAAAAAACAAAACAAAAACAATAAACAAAACAAACAGAAACAAAACAAAATCAGAAACAGAACACTGAAACAGAAAAAGCGGAAACAGTAGCCGAGCAGTAAAGCAGTAGCTGTATAGCAGTCAAGCAGTGGCTGTAAAGCAGTAGCCAGTGTGTCCGTGTCATGGCAGAAGGCAAAGAATGCTGGCAACCGGGAACGTGGAGCAGAACAGAACCGAGCGGAAAATTCAGATCACATATGCTTTCATAGTTCGTTTATGGATAGCATTCCAGATTTATCGAGTCTAGTACGCAAAATGCCAGAAAACGGACCAAGAATTACAACAACCTGTCAGAGAATAAAGACTTTAATTAAGCACAAAATAACAAAAATACTGACAGGTGAACAAGCAAAAATCAAAGTAAGATGGAGTCTAGGAGGAGCCTTGGCTCAGCCACAAGAAAATGTCTAAGTTTAATTTTTCCTCTGAATTTTCAACTAACAGCAAGCACATTCCACGCATGAATGAGCGGGAATGAATGTAACCGTAGGCTTATGGGATGATTTCTATGCCGAATCAATGTCACACTTTTACTCGGAAAACGCGACATTCCTTGAAGGAATTCCCGTTCTGTAGGGGGTGCTGTTGGGGGAGTGATTCACTGAAGTGAATAGCAATTGAGTCATTTGTTCATTCGTTTATTCCATATCCCCCTGGCTGGCTCCTTTCGGCATTGCTTTATTTTTCAGTCAATAATCCTGAAAGCAATCATGAAAACAGATGGGATTCTCATTTCTTGAGGATGGAGGAATGCATCTAGCAGATAACTTGATTTCCTTCTCTTCCTTTCAACAAATGCAATTGCAACGACTCTTTCTTCCTTCCTTCCTTCCTTCCTTCCTTCCTCCCTTCCTGTATCCCCCTCCTTCCAGTGACTGCCAACGCATGGCAACTGTACAGGAAATTACGTTTAAATGAATCAATGGATAAAAGCTTTTGCCAATTGCATTCCCATTCGCATCTACCATGTATCTATCGCCTTCCTCGAACACTGACTGACTGCCTGACTGCCTGCCTGCCCCTAGGAGAAAATCTCCCAGAATGATATACGGAGGAAATATACAGAGGACTTAAACTTGAGAGTGAGAGTGTGGTACCTCCGACTTCCTCCCTCCTCAACCCTGTGTGTACAATTTCCGTTTCGTTCCCCATTCCTGCTGCCCTTCATCCACGCCATCTGGGGATTCCATAACGACTCTTCTGCGACGGAGGATGCGACGGAAGATAACACAAAGAACGAAAAATACAAGAATGAAAACGGAACGAAAGGGGAATACTTCCGACTAACGGAATCCCTCTTAAGGCAATGATTAGCAAAACTCTGCGTTATCTTCTAATATTTTTATTATTTAATATAAATTATGGTCTATTAACCTGCTATTTTCTATGGTTGGTGCTTAGATTGTAGAGAGCCCAGAACCTCCAGAAATTCCAGTCATAATTTTGATAGACTGTTTTATATGTGTCTTCAAATGAATACTCTCTGTTGCCGGCTTTGCACATCTTACAGGGTATGGGAAAACAGCAACAATGACGGCGACATCGATGCAGTCAGCAAGCAGCAAGCAGCAGGCAGCAGGCAGCGATGCGACGTCAGAGTCAAGGAGCCTTGAAGTTTTTGGTGCCACTGCCGCTGCCGTTGCTGTTGCTATCTCGAGTATGTGTCTGTGTCTGTTTGTGTGTGCGCCTGCGTCCTCGCTGCAGCAACGGCAGCGACTTGGAGCCGGTTTGCGGCCTGTTTTGTGGCCTGGTCCTTGAACTGCAGTGTTGCTCGGCCAACCAGGGCCATGGCGATGGTACAGCGTACGACACATAAATGAAACCAAAAAATACAATTAAATAAAAGAAAGCCAAGTCCATCCTTACCTATCGATCTCGTATGTAACATTACTATGTATAACACATTTCACTGTGAAATTTTACAAGTATAATCGGGAAGTCTGATGTGCTCGAGAGAAAATCTGTATTTTCCAGTAATTTGTTTGGTTCTTTTCTAGTTTTTATCATACATTTTTCTTAAAGTTTTCTAGTCATTTCATTGAATATTGAATCATATATTTTTTGGTTGATTTGCGATTATATTTTTGCCAGCAAAGTCAACTTCCAGTACTTGTTGATGTGTGTGTTTTCTGGTATTTCTAGTTTTTTATTTCACTATCCAAACTCTTGGCCAGCATTTTCAGTTATATACTCTCAATTTGAGAGCATCTATTTGTTGGTCCTCTCCCCATTGCGGGGAGTACTACTGTACTTGATTTTACTTTCGGCTTTTGGGCTGATTTTGTTTGAAGCAACAACAGCAGAAAATAAAGGTGAAAAATACAGGAAATTTGGATCCTCCTCCTCCTTCCACTCTCTTGCAGTGTCGCTGCTGCTGCCTCTTCTTTCTCTCTATGTTGCCCCTTCTCTCTCTCTCTCTCTCTCTCTGTTTCTGCTTTGATGCAATTGCATAAATTTCATTGAACTGGAGGGCGCAGAAGAGTGAAGTTTTTTTGTTTTGCATTCAATTTATCAATGCCTTGCGGGCGGTGGACTTTTGGCTTTACCACTGAAAACTGTACCAAAATAAAAGGAACACGAGGACCACTCACTGCACAGCCATCGCCTTGGGCGTGCATTAATCTGCATGAGTGGGAAATCCTTTGGAAATCCCTAGTCTGGAAACATTATGCATATGGACATGGGGGGCGCCACCCTTATCCTGCTGTCCTGCAACCCCCCTTGGAGTGCCCTCGATTGCATTTTGAATACTCATTAATGGCGGGCTCACAGAAACACTCCCCAAACTTTTTGTTTTTGTTTTTGGATAAGCATGAAATGAGCAGAAGCCAACCTCCCCCTGGGTCACCCCTCGGGGGAGTAGACGAGACATCCCCTTTAACCCAGGGACCGGTGCCACCCCTTGTTGTGTGTTCTCTATGTGTGTGTGTGTGTGTGTGCTTTTCATTCATAAATGGATTTTAAAGTGGATGCAATCTCCGAACCACCCAGAATGCCCGGGGGCAGGATGTATTTACACACATGTCTGAGGCAGAACTGGAGTTGGGTCCGTGTTGGACGGATGAGAAAACTGCTGCTATTATTTATGAGTATGAGTATGCACTCCTTCACTCCTTCACTCCTCCACTGGAGGAGCTTTCATTATGAAATTAACGTTGTAACATGTACATGCAGATGTACATAGCTATGGTACGGGGTCTATGCAAATTGTTTGAAGTACAGTCAACACTCGAGACAGTCGCTGCACAACTAAGTTGGCAGCGCCCCCGCAGCGACGCAAGGTTAAGGCTAGAGAAAGTGAAAAATATTAAAGAGCGGCTTTAGGCTTTACAATTTCTTGGCCATATTCATCTCAATGGATCTCACTTAACAGACCATACATATGCACACATATAGCGAACAACACTCTAACAAGATCCAAACTCTAATGATAATTGAATACTCAGCCCCTGGAATTGCAACCAACAACCCCAAGATGAATGCCATGCTGTGTTACCCTTAAGTCTTCGGGTAGTTGCAATCCATTCATCCATCAAAGTTGTCAAAGTCGAAGCCGAAGATGAATGGGGATTACTTTCGGGTGCTTTGTAACTGATACGATAATGATATTATGTTTGGGTGGGGAAGGGAGGTAGTCCCAAAAAGGGGAACGAACGTTCGTTTAATTAAATGCAAAACTTTCAATTTATGAAATTGTATTTTGATCGATTCTCTTTACAGCTGCCCAGTATGCACCATCGAAACGGTTGAAGATGGCCACCTAAAATAAAGGTACAGCCACAGTTGCTCGTAGTTTGCTTCAAAGAAAGGTAACATCTGGAATTTAGATATTTGATATAAGCAGAAAGAATTACATTTTTCTTCCATGCACAATCGAATGCCTAATGTTTTTATTCGTTTGGCTGTTAATATAGTAATTTCCTTTTGGGAAATGTTCAAGTCATGATTCATTATCACCCGCGTGCACCTCCTCGTGTTTTCAGGGCCTCAAAAAACAAAAGAAAAACTACGAAACGAAAAGGGAAGGGAAAAGGGGCATGGGGCATGGGGCATGGGCAGGGGGCAGTGAATCCAATATTCCAATATTCCCCCCGCCGCCTGCAATTGCAATGGAAGCTCCTCCACCTCCACCTCCTCCTTACTCTCGTAATTGAGTTTTCTGTTGCATGCCCCGCACCGCCCCTCCCCACCCACAGAGTGACTTGGCAATTTATGGAGGAGTAATTTGTGTGTTTTTGTTTTGTTTTTCCCCTGTGGACGTTTGGTTTTTGTTTTTTTTTTTATTCATAATTTGAAATTGAAAACTTTATTAGGCAGCACACCGAAACGACGAAGACGATGGAGCAGCATAGAGAGGGTGAGCCAGGGGTAGAGGTAGCGCCAATGCATCATTGTTTGATTGTTGCAACATGCAAATCGAGTCACGTAACAAAACACAAACACAAACAACAAAAACATTAGTAAAATAATGGAAAATTGAAGACCAAAACCGAACGAAGAGAACTCGCAACATGAGCGGAAAGAGCGTGGAAAATAGTTTGCATTCAAGTTAGATCCATCCAAAAGGCATCCTTCTCCATGTTTTGTAAACTCCTGGACACACCAGAAATTCCAGCAGCCCGAGCAACACCCTTTAGCCCTAGCCAATATTTGAGGGGTATCACGGTGCAAAGATCATTTTACTTTTGGAGTTCAATTCTTCCAATTGAACTTTGACGACAGAAAATCCGAGAGGCAGACACAAGTGATGCCCCGTGGGCCAGGCAAGGGATTGAATGCTTCCCATGTGTATCACTTGATTGCAGAGTATCCCAAGCTTCGATCATCCACTCTCTGTATGTTGTTCTCTCTTTGTTATGTGTGTTTCTTCGTTGTTTTTGTTTCGTTTTTGAATGGGATGTGCTCTCGAATAAATTGGTCAAAGGCCTCTGAATAATTGCCAAAAGGGAGGGCAATGAGTGTAGCCAGAGATCACACACACACACACACACACACACAATGGGAGAGCGGGTGTGCAACAGTGTGATGATGCAACAAAGTGTGGGGCAGGTCGCTTGTTGGTCGTTTTTGCATAACGGCCTTCTCGCTCCTCTGCTCTCTCTCTCTCTCTCTCTCTCTCTGTGGTTGCGCCTCTGTTGCTGCTGCATTCCGCGTTGGGGCAGAGCCTTGGCAATGTGTGTGTCTGTGGATGGGGGCATGCCGCATCTATCCCCGTTACTTTACTGCACAATAAGAAACTAGATTGAAAGAGGAGAAAGAGGATCTATGCACTTGGCTTCGGATTCTTGACCATTCCTTCTATTTCTCCTTCCCCTTCCAGCTGCTCTTCATTCTACTTATTCGCCTACCCCCCTCCCGCCCCTTCTGCACTCTCTTCAATATTTTTTCCATGTTTTATTATACATTTTCATCTAATTGTTCCTTTTGGTTTTGTTTACTTATGAAATTGTTTTGTTTATGTTTATTCTGTTTTTGGGTTCTCGCCGTGTCTCTCTTGCACTCTTTGGCTTGTTCTGGTTTTTATCAGCGGCATCTGTTGATAGAGAAAAACAGCCCTGAGAGAGACAGAGAAAAAGACAGGAACAAGAATAAATTGTTGTTGGAATTAGGGCCTATGGGGCGTGCACCTTGACCTAAGAGAGGGCGAGGGAGAGGGAGAGATGATCCCCACATTTCATTATTTCAATTCCAATTGATTCGTAGTTTTGTGATCTTTTCTTTCATGTACACTATTTATTTTGTAGTCTTTGGTTTTAATCTCCAATGACATAATCACGCCACAAATCTAGCCACAAAATGTTTCTCAAATTGTGGCGTCATTGAAGACGACCGACTGACTACTCGTCGTGGTGGCGAGGGGTAGAATGTTTTTACACTTAAATTACATTTGTCACAGTCCGCTCCCACCGCCAAAAACAGGCAGACAAATCTGTATGCGAAACAAAAACAACTCAGCCATTAATCATGCACGAATAATTCATATAAAATGATTGGCAAAATGCAAAGTAATATATACGTGGTTTTTGTGTAGTGAAAACAACAAACCACTCAAATAAGGCAAGTCTCTGATCAATTAGCAGGCTCGGATCGTGACAAGAACATAGTAAAACATTATGCAACAGCAAAAATAACACGATGAAAAGGGAATATAATTGGTGTAAATTACAAGAATTTCCAATCGATATGGATTCAATTTCTACTGGCCATCACATCTCGCAGTCCATTCATCTTATCGGTAATCTGTGCAGTGAAATTTGTACTCCTACCTTGGCCTCTTTAAAGCCTCTTTCGGCCATTTATTTTACTGGCTTCTTTTCTTTTCCTTCTTTTCTGTTATGTTTTTCTGTGTTCTCATTTTCCTTGAACTGCTTTTCGGCGTGGCGTTCTCTGTGTGTTGTGTGTTTCGATATTTGTGTTTTTGTTTGTGTTCCGTTATTTGTTTTTGATGGTTTGTTGTTTTACAAATTTTGTTTTTGGGGGAAAAAACAAGGCACAAAATTAGGGAGCTCTTGAACTTTCACTGCTGGCAATATTCTGCTTGATATTTGGCCAAATTCGGTGGCCTTCTGCAATCTATTTCACTGCTATCGACTGCTTGCAATCCACTGCTTGCTTTCGCTCTTTCTCCAGATGATTTTTCCATCCAAGTCTTTGAATGTCCGCTTACGGTGCATACACTGCTTGCTCTCAGCGCCCTTAGCTTTTTGCACTGCTTAGTTTCCACTGCCACTGCCGGCGTTCTTTACGGCTTTCTTTCGTTCGCGCTTGCCTTGTTTGTTTTGGTTTTTTCTTTCGTTTTGGCGGTAACAGCATTTGATGAATGATATAATACGAAACCGATTACGAATCCCACCCACGCACCCACACATACACATGTACACAAGGCCAGTGAGAGTATTGCAGTGGTAGGGGGGGGGGGGGGGGGGAAAATTGTTAAGTGTTATTGGTAAGTTTTTGAGGAATATCTCTGTCCTTTCCTCGCCTCAACGACCAATCTGCGAGTCGTCATCCCCCC